CTTTCTTTAAAGGGGAAAAATACTATCTTGAATTTTTATGTTAATTAGGTTTGGCATCTGGCCCTGGATTATGATGTCATTTTGCTTCAAGCCATATTGAAAGAGGAATTTATTAGAAGTGTAGTTGATATCCACAGCTAACTTTATGAAAATTGATTAAAGTGTTTGCCTCATAGCCAGGCCATTTTCCCCCAGAAACTAGAACTAAAAACTCAAATATTAACCTTTTTTTTGGTCAGATATAAACTACTTAGTAAAATTCTTTATTCAGTCCAGTTACACCTTATAACACCGCAGACAAAAGTTGAATTACATTCTTCCAGATGCATAGTGAATGATTCACTGTAATATAGAAAGCCTGTAACTTTTCTGCTTACCACCAGTATTGGGTAGTGTTCTCTTAGACCTACTTTAGGCAAAGGTATAATAAAGGGGATCTGCTTTGGTGCTATAACTTCTTAAGGGGAAATGCAAAATTACTCTTACACTTTTAACATTTGGTATTACAGTGTGAGTTGGGTTAAATTTAATTTCTCTCACCTGGCCAAATTGACAAGCACCAAACGTGAGTGAGGAAGACAAGGCTAGGCATTTTGAAAACTTCTAACTTGGGGATCTCAGCATCCAGTCTGAAGGGGAATTAGAGGAGAGATAGTTTCTTGAGTTGTTATCTAGGTCTAGTGTGGTGAGTGGCCCTGGACAGGCAGCTGCACACTCACACTGCTAATGGGACTCTGATAGGGAGGAGTTCAAAGAAACACTTAGATGTGGGAACACAGAAGCAGTGACATGCTAGGGCTTTCTGCAGGAAGCTGTCAACAATTAGAATATATAGCCAGTGGAAGCTGGGCATCTACCTGACAAGACAGGTAAAGCTATTTTCTCCCTACTTCCCCCTCCATCCAACCCTGCCCACCCCCCTGCCCCCAGGCCCTCAGGACACTATTGTCTATGTCCATGGGCTATATATGCATATAAGTTTTTTAGTTAATCCCCCCTCCCCCAGATCTGTTCCTCTGTTGGAAATAAAAAAATTATGTGAAGAAGGGATATATACCAAAATATGATGTTGATTTAATTTTATCATTGCAAAAAGAACTTATCTGTTAAGGACATTGGGCAAAGTACTTGGTCTTCAGGAAAAGAACTATCCTATGAGGTAGATGTTACAATCCTCATCTTGCACTTGAGGAAATTGAAGCTTAAAGAAGCCAAGGAATAAGCCCAAGTTCACACAAAAGTTGGTGGAAAGCCAGAATTTGACTCCATGTATTTCTGATTCCAAAGTCTATAAATGTGGCAGCCAAATCTTTAAAAAATGAGAATTATGCATCATAATCTATAACAGTGGTTCTCAACCTGTGGGTCACGACCCCTTTGGGGTTGAACGACCCTTTCACAGGGGTCGCCTAAGACCATCGGAAAAACACATATATAATTACATATTGTTTTTGTGATTAATCACTGTGCTTTAATTATGTACAATTTGTAACAATGAAAATACATCCTGCATATCAGATATTTACATTATGATTCATAACAGTAGCAAAATTACAGTTATGAAGTAGCAACGAAAATAATTTTATGGTTGGGGGTCACCAGAACATGAGGAACTGTATTAAAGGGACGCGGCATTAGGAAGGTTGAGAACCACTGATCTATAATGATGTGTGTACATTTGTGTCATTCACTTTTTCCACCTTTTTGTGTCTGCTTCTTGATCCACCCAGCCTCCTCCTTATGTGTCAAAACCAAGAAGTTTATTATTTATTTGTTAAAGAGTTCTATGTCTATTAAATAGACTTGTATTTCTTTCAAAAGTCATATATTAAGTCATTTTTGTTTTTTTACTTATGAGTTTTATTCCTAGGCCATAAAATTATATCCCACTCATGATCTAAGTATTCATTGGATTTTATTATTTAAATAAAAATAAATTAATGAAATAATAGAATCTGTGTTCTTTTAAAATGACCACAACATTGAGGGGGGGAGGTAGCAAGCAATGGGCAGATGTTAATCAACATCTAGTACAGCCGTGGGCAAACTACGGCCCGCGGCCGGATCCGGCCCGTTTGAAATGAATAAAACTAAAAAAAAAAAAAAGACCGTACCCTTTTATGTAATGATGTTTACTTTGAATTTATATTCGTTCACACAAACACTCCATCCATGCTTTTGTTCCGGCCCTCCGGTCCAGTTTAAGAACCCATTGTGGCCCTCGAGTCAAAAAGTTTGCCCACCCCTGATCTAGTAACTACTGGTTGCTTAAAACTGTGTTATGGAGGATACAAGTAATATGGTCTATCCTGACCCTTGCTAAGTTGTACTGGGGAGGGAGAAGACCTCCTCACTCCTTGGTGGGAATGGAGCTTATAGTATGGAAGTGAGTGTGCTTAGCAAAGGGGATACCTGTTGAGCAAAGGGATAGGTGAATGAATGGAAGGGATCACTTCTGCTGCTCCTACTTGATCACATAAGGTAAACTCTGCCCACTTAGTTTTTGGATAGGGGTCTTAATAATGTGGCTGGCAATGTTGTGGAAGGTGGCCTGAGAATGACACCGAGTCTGACTTTGGCTGGCTGGTGCATAGAAACTTGTCTCTCCTGGTCTAGTCTACAGACCTCTATTGACTCCATGCTGTGCAGAAGCTGTCAGGTAATTCATACAAGGGGTTGGTCTTCTGGTGAGAAGGGAAGTTGCCAAATGGCTGGGACATTAAGTTATTCTGGGGGTCACAGAAGATGATGTTGCTTCTATCATCTTCCTCCTCAAACAGAGGCTTTTTTTCCCTCTCTCTTCGGTAGCAAAGCATCTAGATCATCTGTCACCTAATGAAGCAGGAGGTGTAGGAGGGGCTCTCTCAGTCTTTACATAGTTTCCCCTCCACTCTCTTTCTCTGTGTTAATGTTCTAAAGGATGTGTTTTTTTTTCTTTTTGGCACAAGGCGACTCTGGTTCAGTTTTTTTTTTGTTTTTTTTTTTTGCTGTAGTTGTTATTTCCTTGGATGAAATGCCCCAACACATTTGATCCTTCTTTGCCCCTCCCCCAGTCTCTCCTGTGTCTGGGCTAGAGACTGAATGATGTGTTTTTCTCATTTTTGTTCACTCATCATAGCCGGCCATTTGTGAGCCAGCTGTTGTTGGGACAGCAGCTGCAGGCCAAGGAGACTGAATGCCAGGCTCTTTTCTAAGAGGAGAATTAGAGCTTTCCTCAGTGTCACACTGGAGGTACCATTAGAGGTTTCCACTGGTCCTTCTCATATTGGGCCACGCAGCTGGGACACCAGTGATATGAAACTAGACCAAGCTCTGGTAGTTTTTTATTGAGAGGTTTGAATATAACCAGTGTTAGGACAGAGCCATGCACACCTTGGTTGGGTCCTTGCTGCCCTGAGCGCAAGCTGTGACAGGTGTAGTGAAACCCACAGGGGTCTGTGCAGCTTTGCTTTCAAAGCATCCTGTTGTTACTACTTTCTTATTTTGTAAGTTAATGTCTGTTGTACTAATTCAATATCTTGTTGAGACAGTAGGCTATTATTTGCTACATAATAAACATTTTAATTGTTTGCTTTATGTGTCTGAATAAAATTCTGTTTAAATGCAGGTATTATTTGGGGTACTTACAGAATGAATGAAACTTATTATACAGCCAATTATTTGAATTCGTTTACTGTATCTCAAAAATGTACTTGTTCTCCTGTGTTAATGAAGATAAAGTAACTCTAACAATGACTTGTGGATAAGGTGGGAGAAGTATAAAAAATAAAAACGCATAAAATTTTTTTTAGATGGATCTTTTGCTTATAGCTTTGAAAAACAAATATTTAATGTCCTTCGGTTGCTTGAACTCAGTAGTTCAAGTTTGGTCTTTTCAGCTTTAAGATGTTATAATGGTTTCCTAGAATCTTTTTATGTTAACTTTCTCAAAGGGAAGTAGTAAGTGGAAAGAGAAACAGAGTTTTTTTATGATTGTGACTCCCAACTTGGAATGAAGTTTAAACAGGATGTTACACGAAGACCAGGAAGGAAAGTTTCTGCTCCAGTTTGACAGTATTCTCCATAGCATTACATAGTTGCAGGGAAAGACAAAGTTTAAGGAGGAGAAGGAGTTGGCTTTAGGAGTTGAGATAATTGTGTTTGATCGTGGTATATATACTCTTAACTAGTAGTTCCCAATTCACATTTTATTCTTCGTGAGCTGGAGCTAGTTGTTGAGCTCTCATTCCAGTGTCCACAGGGGCTGTTTCCTGGCAGTTTAAAGACTAAAGACTGTGTGTGTCTAACCACTATACTGTACACTGGAAACTAATACAAAATAATATGGAGTGTAAACTGTAATTTAGAAATAAAAGAAAAAGACTATGTAGATATATTATCTCATCATTAGGATAGGTGTTTGATTTCATATCTCATAAAATGAAGCCCAAGAGACTCACCTTAAAAGTGTTGTAATATTTTATTTATAACATATTCAAATACTAGTCAGTACTTCAGTGGAATGCTAATAGATGGAAGCTACTTCTAATAGGACTTTATTAAAATACGAGGCCTGGTGCACGAAAATTTGTGCACTGGGGAGGGGGGCGTCCTTCAGCCCGGCCCGTGCCCTCTCACAGTCCGGGAGTCCTCAGGGGATGTCCTGCTGGGAGCGGGCCTAAGCTGCAGTCTGGCCTCCCTCTGTGGGAGGCAACTGGACAGGCCGATCAGGGGACGGTGCCGGCCACCCCCATCGCCCCTCTGCCGCCACTGGTCGCCACCCCCCAATCGCTGTTCCCTCCCTCTGCCCGCTGGCACGCACCTTGGCTGGCCTGGTGCCGCCTGCTCACCGGCCCCGCCCCCCGCCAACTGGTCGTTCTGCCATTTGGTCGATTTGCATATTACACTTTTATTATATAGGCTATTTACATTTAAATAAGTATGTGAACTGTAAATGGTTCCATTTTGGACTCTGGGAAATTTCTTATGGGTTGATTAACCACTTTTTTCCTCTCCTGCAGAACTGGCTAGATCCTGCAAAACAAATAAAGAGACAACTAAGAAGTGAGTATTTAAATAATCATACTTTAAAATTAATCTTTACATCTATCTTTAAAAAAGTTTATGGACTATAATAATAAGATAGTCATAGAATGATCAGCTCTATTTTGCATTTGTGTCTTATGGGAAGTGAAGGCTACTAGCGATATTTTTCTGGGATAATGACTACTTTGTATAGGGCTTAGGGACTCCTGTATTGTCAAGAGGTTCTAGACCAGCCGTGGGCAAACTATGGCCTGCGGGCCGGATCCGGCCGTTTGAAATGAATAAAACTAAAAAAAAAAAAAAAGACCGTACCCTTTTATGTAATGATGTTCACTTTGAATTTATATTAGTTCACACAAACACTCCATCCATGCTTTTGTTCCGGCCCTCCGGTCCAGTTTAAGAACCCATTGTGGCCCTCGAGTCAAAAAGTTTGCCCACCCCTGTTCTAGACTCACAGCCCTCAGTGTTTTCTCACAGTATCTACCACTTTGAAGTATATCTGACTTTTTTCTCTGTAGAAAAGAATGAGAAGCTGCTTTTCTGTAACTTTTATTATCTATGTAAATTTTACCCCAGGTAAATTTATTACTTTATTCGCTTCATCTTGAAAGTGTATAATTAGTTTAATAAATAAGCATATCTCTGGCCCCAGAGGCTTATAGATACACTGTTTGTAGATGTGCTGGAGTGAGGACTATGGGGAGAAAATGTGTAGAAGGATCTTTTCAGTCCTCGGAGGTCATTGCCTTCTCTACTCCTTTGTCCCACGGGCCACTTAATGTTCTCTTTGAGTCTGGGTTTGTCATTAGTCCTGCTTGGCCCTTTCTTCAGTTTCCCCATTTGTTCTCATTGTGGACTCCCAAAGTGACGTTCAGTGTCCCATCCTAACTGGCTTCAGTTTCCTCTGTGGGTTCTGCCTCTGCAGGTTGACTGGCCTGTGGCTGGCTTTGCCATATCTGTGCCAAGAAACATGCTTACCCACAGAGAAACCTCTCACAGGAAATCAGTACTTAATGTACTGCAGGGTCTGTGAGTGACTGAAGCAGAAAAGTTAGGGAGCCACAACAGCTGGAACTCTCAGGCAGGAGAATAGATTTCTTAGAGCCTCTGGGCCTGTGCAGAATGCCCTTTGTGCCCTGGCTTTCATTCCCTGCCTTTACTATTCCTGACACCAAAACACTGCAGCCAGCCTGTGCTTTGCCTTCTGTTCCTTCCCGCCTACCTTCTGTCCCACTTTAGGTTCTCCACATTTTTCTTCACTTCTTTCCTTTCTCTCTCAAATTATTAATCTTTTTGGTAGTTTTTCTATCATTTCTACTCTCCTTTTCTGTTCTCAGCATAAGTATATCTATCTGTCTGTCTATCTGTCTATCTATCTATCTATCTATATCTTATTTTTTCTTATTTTTTCTACTTCCTCTCCTTATAGACTCATCTTTCTTTTCTGTTATTTTATATCTTTAATTACAATGACCTTTCTGATTTGCTGAGGGGTTCTCAGGATGTGGGACTTGAACGATAATACCTGGACAGCCCTGGGCAAACTGGGATGGTTTGACTACTACCCCTGGCTTTCCAGCATTTCCCCCCCTTCATCCATCCTCCCTCCCGCCTCCCCCCTCTCCCTGCATTTATTATTTTGGTGTTTAATCTGTGTATGTTTGCTTCATGATGGAGAGGGAGAGGGGCTTAAAGAAAAGGAGTAAAATGAGACACAGATACATTATGCTGACGTTATGGAAGAAATTGCACGAGAAAGCATTGGAGCTTTCCCTGTCCTGTCTACAGTTACTACTTGCTCTAAAAGGTGCACAAATTCAGAAAGGCACAGAAGCTTGCTTCTTTCACTTTCTCTGAAGTCAGACCTGCCAAGTGACCCACACAGGAGAGAGCAGGATAACCTCTGAAACATGATTGATGTTCCATTGAGTTGTTTCCTATGGTTTTGTTTGGTTATTTTTATGTGCCACTCATTTTAGAGTCATGGAGATTTTCTAACTTTTGAAAGGCAAGACTATTGCTGATTATGAGTCACTAGAGGCCTGGTGCACGAAATACGTGCACTCGGCCCGGCCTGCACCCTCTCGTAATCCGGGACCCCTCGGAAGATGTTGACCTGCCAGCTTAGGCCTGATCCCTGGGCCTAAGCTGGCAGTCAGACATCCCTCTCGCAGTCCGGAACCCCTCGTTCCTTACCGCCCGCCTGCAGTGGAGAAGGGAGAGGCTCCTGCCACTGCTGCTGCACTTGCCAGCCCTGAGCCCAGCTTCTGGCTGAGCGGTGCTCCCACAGGGGGAGCGCACTAACCACTAGGAGGCAGCTCCTGCGTTGAGTATCTTCCCTCTGGTGGTCAGTGCTTGTTATAGTGACCTGTTGTTCCGCTGTTTGGTCGATTTGCATGTTAGGGTTTTATTATATAGGATGGTCTTATGTTTTGATTATTTGTGAAATTTTTAAAAAGTTATTTCAGAACTTTTGCCCTTGCAGTTTGGCAAGAGGAATAACAGTAACAAATAGGATTTGACTCTTTCAGACTATTGTTGCTAGTTCCCTAACTGGAACCCTGTACTGTCCCAATCATGAAAGCAGGCTGTGGAACTGAAGTTTTGCTGTTGGATTTTACTTCTGTCTTTCTGCTGGTATTAAAATGGACAACAGAACTGCTTGTTCTATCTTAGCCCAGCCTCTGCTAGGATTTATTGTTATTCAGTTAATTGGCAGTTAGCAAAGGTAGAAATTAATCTTTTTTTTAGTTACTTTTGACAACTGACAACCTAGTGGTTCCTGTGTAAAATGTCTTTTAAAATCTTTATGTTTCAAATGTATACAAATAAAACTATGTAGATAATAAGACTAAGGCTTAAGTATGAACAATTAATATATGAACAATTCATAACTAGATTGACTTTATATGTAGCTAGGTAAAAATTAGGATAATAATAGTATGTAATGAAATGAAACATGTAGCATTATTGGTGCATTTTATCAATGTTAGAATTGGAAATATATCTTAAAATATGTGTTCCATTAGAAACGTATTCCTGTAGTCATGTCTAGGCAAGCATGTGCTACTTTTAATACCTAGAAAACAAATAAGTAGGATCCATTAAGAACTGATGATTCTATGATGACTGTTAATTATGGGTTAGCAGCTGAAGAAGTGCATGTGCGTCCTAGCCAGCATGTTGCTGCAGGCCAAGAAACATGTGTCTCTCCATAGCCAGGAAAGTTCCTTTGTGATATTTTTAATGTGTAAAGCAAAACTGAACTTTTTTAAAAAAATTCAACAGAATTGACTTTATTAGTAGAATATTACTGTTTTGAACCAAAATCCAGCAAAAGTTCTGATGTGTTCACAGTAGCCATTCGTTAGTATAGTTAGTATGCTGATTATTGGCAAGAAAAGGCAAAATGACACATTGGACAAAAGAATGGGAGTCAAAAAATCTTTTTCTTCAAGTCTGTAAATTAAAGCAATTGTGAGACCTTCAAATGTATATGAAATGAAATATTGCACACTTTTTGGTTTTAATTTGGAAATACTACGAACTTCGAGCACAACTCTAAATTCAGGCCATTGGAATTATTTGGATACCTTTGGGAAAATAATACCTTATCTCGTCCCAGAGTTGTGTGTGCTTTTTGTTTGTTTTTAAAAGCCACCTGAAGCATGCTATATTGAATGGTTAAATGTTAATGTATAAATAGATGTTTAACTTTTGTCATTTATGACATGGTTGATATAGTCATTCTTTTTGACACAGTACAGCAAAGTATATGTTACATATATGTACTTAGAAAACCTGGGCAATAATTTTATTGTTTTAAAGTATTGTGACATTTACCACTATCTCCTTTCTTTGTGATTTCTTTTAACACTTCCTTCAAATAACCCATAAATAATTACCTGAATAGTTGTAGTGATCACTAGATCATTATCCTTCTTCCCCCAACAGTCTAGAAATCTTAAAATGCTTTTTTCTTTAGAAGGTGGAGAATATTTGGTATCTAGAAATTCTGTGGTCAAAACAAATCTTATCTCAGAACTATTCCATGGAAGTTATATTAAAATTTTTACATAATACATCACCATACAAAACATTTGTTGAAGTACCAGTAAACATTTATTTAAAAATGTGATCCTATTATTCTTAAATGTTGGGTTATTTATGTAATTGATTTTTACTTTATTTCTCATTTTGTCTTATAAATGATGTTTTCTTTAAATTAAAAAATGAAGTTCTCTAAACTGATTTATGCAGGAACTAGTGTACAGTGTTTGAAGTAGACCTTTAAGTTTTATGAAAATAGCCAGGCCAGCATAGCTCAGTGGTTGAACGTCTACCTATGAACCAGGAGGTCACAGTTTGATTCCAGGTCAGGGCACTTACCGGGATTGCAGGTTTAATCCCCAGTGGGGGGCATGTAAGAGGCAGCTGATCCAAGATTCTCATCATTGATGTTTCTCTCTCTCTCTCTCCCTCTCCCTTCCTCTCTGAAATAAATAAAAATATTAAAATAAATAAATAAATAGTCATTCTGTTGGTTGGATGAATAACTATGATTTAATAATTACAGATCTTCCCTGGCTGTTCACTTTTAATGTGAAGTTTTATCCTCCTGATCCATCTCAATTGACTGAAGATATCACCAGGTACTTCATATTTACATAAAAAAACAAACCTTTCCTTATGCTCTCATTTATTTCTGTGCCCTGAGGTAATGATTATAATTTCATTATTCGAATGAAAACATGTTTTCTTAAGTTGAGTTTTAGAAGTAGCTTTGGAAGTGGATGTTCCAAAATGGTTTGAAAGGTTGCCAGTTTGAAAAATTTTATTTACTTTTCTTTAATTTATCTTTATATTTGAGTAATGAAATATTTTTAAAAATATTGCTGGCAACTTTATTTCCTATGTTATACTTTAAAAATCATTGATATTTAATATTTCACATTTCAATAAGATAGTTCTTATTATACAACCCATATGTTCCTGTGAACTAATCTCATATTACAAAGGTGCTATAAGGGTAGAAAATGAAATTATTTTTAAAAGTCAGTTGAACTGTAGTTTTTTTGTTGCCCCAAACAAATAATAAGGTAAGCTTTCTTATGTAAGAGCCAATAGTATTTCATTTCATCTCCTCGGAGATTGTCTGGAATATACAAACATATGCTTAAATTACAAATACAAGATTCAGTTTAGGAGCAAGACAGCATTTCCTGATTCTGAGAGTGGCTGAGTATTTGAATGGTAACCAAGGAACATTCTTGTATCTGCCTGTGCCTTCATGTCTTAATCCTATTCAACTGGGTACCAGTGGTAGGACTTCTTAGCTTTAGTAAGAGTAAGTGGATTAGGTGATTTGTATATATTTTTAAAAGGTTATTTACATGGCCAAGGAACACTGTTCTATACAGTAGGTCCTCGGGTTACATTGCAAAGCATCAGTGCTTTGGTTTTCCTTTCAAATTGGGCTTTAACAGTCTCTCTGTGTATAGGGGGAGGAATGATATATTTAGTGGGCTAACTAACAGCCGTGGCAGTGCAGCCTGAGACCAGCCACCTTGCCTGTACGTGTAAGCTGGTGGCCTGCTTGTCATAATTGAAATCTTGACCACGACTTGAGTGAACATTTAGAAGGAGGGGTAAGCTTTGGAGGATGGCAAAAACAGTGTTCAGAATAATGTTTAAAGAATGCTCTTTCCTGCAATGTAAATTTCCCAAGTTGGAAAATTCAGGGAGCTGTTGTAGTTTTTGTTGGAAGCTTTTTGTACTTCAAACTTAATCTTTGAAAACACCAATGGGAAAAGTAGAGATAGTGGAAAAAGTAGAGACAATACTATAAAAGGGAGCAACAAGATTTTAGTAATAGATGGACTCTTTGTGGATAGGCCTTAAAACTGTCATAAAATGTGGAAAAGTAGCACCGTTCTTGATTAGCCTTAGAGAATTGGAGGATAACCTGGATCATTGTGGGAGGGGAGTGAGGGATATCTGTAATAGTGTCAACAATAAAAATGAATTTAAAAGTGAAAATAAAATAAGTACAGTAATATTTATGCTGTTCTAGGAGTCAAGGAAACATAATCCTCCTTAGAAAGAGAGCTTCTGCAATGCATAAAAACACTCAGACTGCAGTGATAGTGAGACAACTTTCATTCTCAGAAAATTATTGAGCACCCACCATGTGGCAAATACTTTGCCGGCTGTGGGACTGTGATGATGATAAAAGAGTCTCTGGCCTGCCTGACAGATGTGTCTAGTAATCCTGGTTGAACTGAGCTGTGTGATGGCTGATAGCATGTGCTGGGTCGTGCTCTGTGACTGAACAGCAGTGAGGTCTGGCTGAGAGGCAGTGCGCCTGTTTGAATATGTTGGGAGAGGATAAGAGGAGGTCGGGGCAGGGGCACTGAAAGCCATGCTAGGCAGAAGTGTCCACATGAAGGTGGCTACCTGCCAGTAGGAATGGCAGTCACTAACAAATCTTCAAAAATGAGAACCATTTAGTTTGGGGTGGTTGTTAGTAACCTTAGCAATTGATTAAATTTGAGCAATCAGGCTTTAAAATGTCACCAAAAGGAGTTTGATAGGGTGCCCCCAAAAAATCCTCATAGAATATAAATAGTGGTAGAGCTGCATAAAACCCACAGGTCTGTTTCTCCATGTTATTTAGTGAAAAAACAGAATCTTTTATAACTGTGTGGTAAGCTACTTGGTACATGGAATAATAATTATTATAACTAATAATACCATTATTATGATTATGGCTAACAAATATTGATTCCCAGGATACCATCAATGTGTTTATATTATCTAATTTTTCACCCTCGCTTTCAGAGGGAGGTAGAGTTTTTCCCATTTTACAGGTGGTGAATTAACCTTAGGTGAGTAAATTATCTTGCTCAAAGAGTTAGCTTTGCTTCACTATGAAGCCCATCCTTTTTCTACCGCAAACTGAACTAGCTACCTCTTTAGATGGGGTAAGTGGGCAAGTTAGGGCTTCAAAGTAGACACTAACTTATAATTGTTGTTAAAGGTGTCTCAGAAAAATAAGAAACTAGTATGAAAAGGGTAGAGAGAAAAAAGGGCAGGATGACTTTAACTTTTCTGCTAATGCTTAAGAGCTACCGCTATTTTTTGTGGGGGAAGGCTGGGGACAAAATTATAATTATTTTTCCTGTTTTTTCTTTTTATTGTTTAAAGTATTACAAACAGTAATACATATGTCTCTTTTTTTTTACCCCATTGACCTCCCCCGGCCTCTCCTACCCCCCACTACCGCTATTTTAAAATTTTTATTAATTTTTACAACTTTTGAGGTCATGCTAATTTTGATTAGTTTTAAATCCAAGGGGACAGTGATTGGAATTTTTACCTTTGGTCATAAAACTCTTTGTTGTAATAATCATAGTCATAATACACTACTACTGGAATAGAAGTTCAGAGTTTGCATTTTATTCCTTAGCTCTCCAGACTCAGTTTCTGTATTATAAGCCACAAGGTTGGGAGTCCAAGGAGCAAGATGGGCTTTGTATTAGAGAAGAATTTTTTTTTTACTAGGAATATGAAGAGTGCCTATATTAAATATTTGTTTTCAAACGGATTATTAGAACTCAAGGATTATGAGTGCTGCATTCTTAACTACTTGTTCTCTTCAATCCTTTTCTCCCCCTGCTCCTCAGATACTTCCTGTGCCTTCAGCTCCGACAGGACATTGCCTCTGGCCGCCTGCCCTGTTCTTTTGTGACTCATGCCCTCCTGGGATCTTACACACTACAGGCTGAACTTGGAGACTATGACCCAGAAGAACATGCCAGTCATGACCTCAGTGACTTCCAGTTTGCCCCCTCCCAGACAAAGGAGCTGGAAGAGAAGGTGGTAGAGCTGCATAAAACCCACAGGTCTGTTGACTTTCTGGCTGGAGAGAGAATGGCCATGATGGATTTAAATAGCTTCTTTTATAAAACTTGCTAAACATTAGAGCACAGTTGGTGGGATATCTAGTGTTTCCTTTTGGAACTTCACTTAGTACTAATCAAGACACCCTGCAGTCCTTGAGATAATCTTTCAGGGTCTTTATGACTATAATATGAGGAACTATGCTCAGGAGGCTAAATGTTTTCATATATTGGAAAAGTTCCCTTTTCTTATAACATCTTTCTATTCCCATTTCTATCCCTTGATATACACCCGTATACTTGAAACAAGCATACCCACATACTTGTTTGGCATTTACTGTATGTTCCTTCTGCCCTTTAATTGTTTTTATGACAATCTTTAATAAGAAAGCAAGGGAGATGATTAGTCATCCAGATTTGAATTAGAAACGTGGGTGGTGATGGACGTAGGAGAAATGACTGAAATATGCAAGTGGTTTCTCTATCCACAAAAGATGACTGTTGGTTTAGCTAAGGATTCCTTAATCACTTACATACCATGTTACAGGTTAAGAACTTTTATATCTGTGTGAAAACAAAATGCTTCTTTTAGCATAAGTTTTAAAAACTCAAGCTACAAAATTATAGTTTGTCCCACATTGCAAAATTGAAATTTTTAAAAATTTTGAAGATAATGATTTGAAAGAAACTTTTAGAGATTAGAAGTTTTTAGATAAACCACATTTATTGACTTTTCTTTTTTATTTTTATTTTTTTTTTAAAAAAGCAGTCTTCTCTGACCATATATTATGAAACTAGAAATCAATCATAAGAAAAAACCCCTGAAAAGCACACAAAGACATGGAGGCTAAATAACAGGTTACTAAACAGTGAATGGGTTAACAATGAGATCAATGAAGAAATCATAAGATATCTTGAAACAAATGAAAATGAGATCACAACAACCCATAAATCTATGGGATACAGCAAATTCAGTCCTGAGAAGTCATAGCATTGCAGGCCTATCTCAAGAAACAAGAAAAACTCCAACAATCTAACTTTATACTTAAAGGAACTTGAAAAAGAACAATAACAAAAACTCAGTGAGTAGAAGGAAGGAAATAATAAAAATCAGAGCAGAAATAAATGAAATAGAATCTAAAAAATAATATAAAAGATCACTGAAACCAAGATTGGGTTCTTTGAAAAGATAAGCAAGGTTAACAAATCTTTAACCAGACTCATCAAGAAAAAATGAGGACCCAATCAGAAATGAAAGAGGAGAAGTAACAGTTGACACCAAAGAAATACAAAGGATTGTAAGAAAATACTACTAACAAATATATGCCAACAAATTGGACAATTTGGATGAAATGGGTAAATTTCTAGAAACATACAATCTTCCAAAACTAAATCAGGAAGAATCAGAGAGTCTGAATAGACAGATTACAGCTAGTGAACTTGAAGCAATAATAAATAAACCCTCCAGCAAACAAAAGTCCTGGACCGGATGGCTTTACAGGTGAATTTTACCAAACATTCAAAGAAGAACTAACACCTATTCTTCTCAAACTATTCGAAAAAATTCAAGAGGAGGGAAGACTCCCAAGCTCATTTTATAATTAGCTTTATCCTAATTCTAAAACCATATAAAGACACAACAAAGAAAGAAAATTATAGCCCAGTAATATAGCCTGATGAACATAGATACAAAAATCCTCAACAAAATATTAGCAAACTGAATTCAGCAATATATTAAAAAGATCATACACCATGATCAAGTGGGATTTATTCTGAGGGTGCAAGGTTGGTATACTATCCGCAAATCAATTAACATGATACACCACATAAGCAAAATGAAGGGTGAAAACCATATTATATCAACAGATGCAGAGAAAGCATTAGATAAACCCAGCATCCATTTATGATAAAAACCTGGCAGAGTGGGAATAGAGGGCACATACCTCAATGTAATAAAAGCCATATACAACAAACCAACCCATAGCTAACATCATAATAACTAGGCAGAAGAATTGCCTTTAAGATTGGGAACAAGACAGGATGTCTGCTTTCACCAGTCTTATTCAACATAGTACTGGCAGTCCTAGCCACAGCAATCAGACAAGAAGAAATAAAAGGTATCCGAATTGTAATGGAAGATATAAAACTGTCATTATTTGCAGATGACATGAAACTATATATAGAGAACCCTATAGGTTCCACCAAAAAACTACCTGAATTGATAAATGAATTCAGTAACGTAGCAGAATACAAAATAAATATTCAGAAGTTCGTTTCATTTTTATAAACAATAATGAACTATCTGGGAAACTTAAGAAAACAATCCCATTCACAATTGCTTCAAAAAAATTTAAAATACCTAGAAGTAAATTTAACCAGGGTTGTAAAAGCCCTATACTCAGAAAATTATAAGACACTAAAGAAAGAAATTGAAGAGGATACAAGTAAGTGGAAGCATATACCATGTTCATGGATAGGAAGATGATATAGAATTGTACACCTGAAACCTATGTAATTTTATTAACCAACTAGAGGCCCGGTGCACAAAATTTGTGCACAAGTAGGGTCCCTAGGCCTGGCTGGCGATCACGGCTAATCGGGGCCTTCCTTCCCCGGGGACTCCCATTGGGTTGAAACAGGAGGGCTCGCTCCGTGCCGCCCCCTGGTGGTCAGCACACGTCATAGTGAGCAGTCAAACTCCCGGTTGGTCAAACTCCCGAGGGGACAGTTTGCATATTAGCCTTTTATTATATAAGGATGTCACCCCAATAAACTCAATAAATACATAAAAACTAAACGCAATATGTGGCTTTAAATATTTTTATTTAATATCAAAATGCTTTTATTTTTTTATTTTTATACATGTAAATAAACACGTATTGTAATTTGAATTTGAAATATCAGGTGCTAAAATGCCATGGGCAATATGAAGTTTTGAATATGAATGGGACATGTTCCTGCTTTCTAGGAGCTTAAAATTTGTTTAGTTGGGAATGTAGATTGGAAGGGAAAAATTTCAATGTTGATAGAATGTGATATGTACTATCTGCTGTAGGTGTAAAACCAAATACAAATACTTCTGGTATTTGTTATGATCAAGTCTAGTGAAATAAAATTAAGGAGTAAGAATTTAATTGTTTCAGAAAAATGAAATCACTTTTTTCTTTCATTTTATTTTGTTTTTTTGTTAATTATGTTGTATCCATTATTGCTGGGTTGTTTTTCCCCAGTAGGAAAAATTGAAAGCAGCTTTCTAAAATAAAAAGGGTAAGGGTAGAAGTGCATATCCTTATAATAAACAGGTTTATATTAGAGGATCCTAAGATAAAAATGCTAGAGATTGAGAGTTCAGCTGTTTTACCTGTTTTCTACTTTTCTGCAAATTTATCTGTGTTACTCCCTGCACCCCAACTCTCCAAGCTCATCCACCTCTTCCCCTATTTTGGCCACATTTTCTTTGCATTCACCAATAAGATAATATTGTTTCTTTTGATTCTTAGGGGCTTATCTCCAGCACAAGCTGATTCTCAGTTCTTAGAAAATGCAAAGAGGCTTTCCATGTATGGTGTTGACCTACATCATGCCAAGGTACTGTAATGTCATGGGGAGGTGGCCTCTTTCCAGGCTGTTGACTGTAGTTTTGAGAGGACTCCAGTGTCAGAATAGTCTGGTTCACCTTTTGCAAAAGGCTACTCACCCTCACCCCACGGCCTCTGTAATATTTCTTTGGTGACTAATTGTAGTGTTTATGGTTGTGGGAGGGTCCATTTATTCTCCCCCCTACTTCTTTCTTCTTTTTCCAATATTTTTAATTAATACCCTTTCATATGTACTTATCCCAAGAGTCATCAGTGTTCTTGATCCATCATCTTGGTTTATTCTGCATCCCAGCTTTTGTCTTATCAGAAGTAACAAAAGTGCCCTCTATCCCAGCTCCCTCTCCGGCCTCTGTCTTAGGATCAGAGAGCAGATAATAGCTACCATGAAAGGGAAAAAGCATTATGGGTATTGACCACTGTCTAAAAACTCCCTGGTTATGAAGGAGCCCTTGAATTGGGCTTCTCCCTCTTGTAAGATAAAGTATGCTGGCCCAGGCTCCAGGTGACATAGCACCTTCAGTCTAATTTGAGAGGTGGGAGGAAGAATAGGTGATAGGAGAAGGTGGGATTGGGTTGGGTTGTGAGGGTGCCAGTAATAAATGTCACCTATTTCATGATCCTTGTTTGGATGATCATTTAATGGGGAGAACAAGAGGTAAGGTGAAAGGTGGGTTTGGAAATATATTCAGAGTCAACTCAACATGCTGAGGGAAGCTGTGGTAGCCTGCTTTTAAAAGACCCTGCCAATCCCTAAATGTAGCATAGGAAGCCCAGATGAAAGGATTTGTGAGATCTCCAGGAAAGCCCCCCACCCGAAGATATCTTTCCTCCCTAGTCCTCAGAATAATTCTTCTTGCTTTTGTGTTAATAGTCCTTCATATTTGAAAATTTCTCTTTTTTCCTCAGTGACTTTTTTATTCTTTAAATATTTTTCCTTATTATAAAAGTAATACATGTTCATCATAGAAAATAGAGGCGAACAGAAGGGGAAAAAATCACTGAAATCTCTTTATGCGAAACAATCACTGTTAATATTTTGATACGTTTTCTTGTTTTAAAAAAAAACCTGTGTTGCCCTGGCGGGTAGCTCAGTTATTTACAGCATCGTCCCGATAGGTTGCAGATTTGATCCCTAGTCAGGGCACATATAAGCATCAGCAGATGAATGTACAAATAAATGGAACAACAAATCTTCCCCTGTCTCTCTAAAATCAATAAATAAACATTTAAAAAAACCTTAGCGCAATTGAACTCACGGATTTAAAAATGAGATTATGCAAAGTAACATTCATTCATTCTGTTAATCATCGGATGGACTCAGATAATATTTGATAAACAAGATATTTGTAGTCATTTAAAAGGATATATAGCAATTTAAAAGAACCTTTCATGTAGTTTTTGTGCCTTTAACTTTTTCATTGTCTTGAGATTGTATTTAAAACATCTTTTAATTAATATTTTATTATCAGAAGAGTTTTTAACAGCTCTCTCATGTTAGGACAAGTTGGAGGGTGTTGAATAAAAGGTATCTTGACAAAGGTACAGGGAAACCAGAGGAGTAGCGATACTTCTGAGGTAGTAGAGCACCAGCCCTCTCTGGATCCGAAGGGTGATTGCCAGGACTCAGGAGAGATTTGTGTGGAAAGGCCATCTAGAGAGGAGCTGTCATTGCCAAGGACACAGCCAGCCAGATGGCACCCATACAGGGAGGGAATCTTCAAAACCCTGACCGCCCCCTCCCTCCCTCCTCTCTCTGATCTTCTTGACGAACTTAGGCTGAACCACGCAGAAGTCAGTGGGCATGGGATCCTGTTGATACCCACATGGGGCAGCTTCCGGGGGCAGTGAGCACAGCAGAGGAGATGGTCCCTTTTTCTTTATTTCTCTGACTTTGAGGTTGAATGTCAGAAGTCAAATACGATGTTTTTCCCTTTCTTATCTTTTATTTGTAATTTCTCATCGTACAAATACTGATAATTCTAAAACAATGTGTGGAACAACCAAAAATCAATTCATTTACTTGGGTACAGATTTTGTTTATTATTAAGTCAGATAAAATAGCTTCAGTGTCCTGTCTAAAGATTGCTTCAGACGAGAGATGGCTTTGTTCAATGTTTCAAATGAGGGCTGCCTCCTTACTTGTGGTGAGAACATGCTGTCTTGGGCAATCTTCCAGCCTGCTTCCTGCGGTCATGGCCAGTGACGTTTTTGGCAAAAGCACCATTTGTGACTGGTGCCAAGTTGCTTGGACACCTGTGCCTGACTCACCCGCTTTTTACTCTGTTCCTAGAGAGAATTTTGGCTGCCAGGACACTGGTGAATAAAGAACCTTATAGATTAGATATTTAAATCTCCTCAGGTGATCTAATGTAACTTTATTTATATATATGAATTATTCACATATCAGCAACTAAAGCAATTGGCATCAGTTACTTAGTACTGTACTTTTATTTTTTTAAAAAAAAACTAATATAAATTGTGTTACATTGTTCTCAGTCACAGGACAGTCAAAATGTTGTATTGAATTGAGACCTAGACTAAATGTAGTGTTTGTTTCAGCATGCTTTTTGAGAATTTAGAAAATGTGAATATCTTTAAGTAATATTCTTCAATGCTACATATTTGAATGAGATTTAGTTTTTCCCTTAAAGATAAACAATAATTTGTACATTTTGAGTATTGTGCATATTAGGTTTTCAACACTACTAGAAACATGAGGAGCCAATTTTTTACTCTTGTCTGTAAACTTTTTTGATAGTTTAAAATCTTTCAGGCTTGTGATTATTCTAGATTGTCATCTATTCTAAATTAAAACACTGGGGAAAGAAAACAATATTAATAATTGAAGAATAGCCTGCAGTCCTTTAAAATATGCCAGCCAAAGAAATATGCTATGACAAGAACTGGATGTCAGCATTCGGAATTACTGAATAACTACTTGAAAGAATTCAAACATTTTAACACTGTCAGTCTAGAAGAGAAATTTCCTGGGAGGGATTGTTGTTTTACAGAATATAGGTGCAACTTTAATAGCTATTAGCTAGAATAATCCACCTGAGATAAGTTTTACTAAAGTAAAAGGCCCAATGTACTTTAAGCCAACATACTATGTATCCCCAAGGGTGGGCGTTGCCTCTTGGCAAACACTTTTTAGCTCTCATATCTTCAGGATACCTAAATCGTGTTGTTTCCTTCCTTCCTCGTGAGCTCATAGGCCTGAGCTCAGGAACATGAATAATGCCTTTTGAAGAATATTGTGTCCTGTAGTTATGTTGTGTACTTCTTTGGCAAATCAAACCTAATCCCTGAAGATGAGTAGATTTAAGATGTGTGTCCTACCGTTTCTATTAACCTGTGTGCTGTCACTGAAATTTAAATCCAACTTGTTAAATTGGTATTCCTAGTCATGGTTTGAGGAGCTAATGAGCTTCCTGATCTGTATAATTTTCACAACTCTAACCGTGGTCAAATGCTTATGCTTGGCAGGACTCAGAAGGCGTGGACATCAAGCTGGGTGTGTGTGCTAATGGGCTCCTCATTTACAAGGACAGACTGAGAATCAATCGTTTTGCTTGGCCGAAAATCTTGAAAATTTCCTATAAGCGCAGTAACTTCTACATTAAAGTTAGACCTGCAGAGGTAAGCATGTCATGTAGTCCTTGGCATATCTGATTAGGCTTTGTCCATGTTCTCCATGGCCATGAGCTAACTGAATTCTTTTCCACTGAATTTAAGAAAACGAACTATTCTTTATTTCTCTGTGGTGAAAAAAAGGTCAGGTTCTTGGTGATAAACCTGCATATATATTCCTATTGCTAAAACACAAGCAACAGCCACAGATTCACAGAACAGGGAAGATAGTAAGTGCCTGCCACATTGTGGGGGCTAATTTTTTGTTGTTGAATCAGCTAAGTGGAGATCAATAGGAAGGTGGTAAAATTAGTTTTGGTGGACATTGACATTGTTTATGTCAATAGTTATGTACCTGCTTTTCATAGAAACTAGTATTGCAGTCTATGAAATACTTATTTTGTATAAATTACATTAGATGTACTCATAGTTTTTCAAGTAGAATTACTTTTTAGAGAAAATGTAATTCATGTTTTTTAGTAGCTTCTAATGAACTCTTAAATAAATATGCCGATTTATTTATTCTAGCTGGAACAGTTTGAGAGTACCATTGGATTCAAACTGCCGAACCATCGGGCTGCGAAAAGGCTATGGAAAGTGTGTGTGGAACATCATACTTTTTACAGGTAATTGAAAGAAAACAGCTTAAAATTAATTGAAATAGCTCGTGGTACCTTTTACTTACTGGGAGGTGGTAGTGGAGAGTTTCGCAGATGCAGGAACACCCTCCATTATGGCTCTTTGCTCTTATCAGTGTCAAATCTCCTTTGTCTGCAAAGTCCACTCTTGTGTCTATTTCTGTTGCCTTGGCCATGCCTTGTCATCACTCATCGCTCTGAACTGTCTGCCTTCATTTTTGCTGGCATACCATAGACTCCAATTTAAAAGCAGACCAATTTGCTCCTGCAGACTTTTGGGATAATGATTAATTAAAAGCATTTTTATATCTTTAAATTTTATATAACTTTCTCACAAACATGTATGTAACACAGAAAGGGAAAATCATAATTTGTCTGCAGAATGCTTTGAATCTGATCAGTGGATTTTGTTCTGTTTTAGTTTATCACAAAAGATTGAAATAATTTCTTTAGGAATTAAAAAATGGCTTTCAGATTGAAGCCATAAACAGATCTTTGTGTTGATTGACAGCCACTCAGCTAGACTAATATTAGTTTAACAAGAACATAATAAAGCCGCTGTCCTTGCTTGAGCATTTAATATAGCCCATCACCATTCTTAGTGCTGCACAGGGATTCATTTTATGAATCCTTATAACATAGCTTATGGGGCAGGTGCAGTTATCTTCACGTTACATATGGAGAAACTGAGGAACAGCGAAGTTCAGAAATATGCTCTTAGTCATATACATGGTAACGGTGTGATGGAATGCAGACCCAGGTAGTGTGGCTCCAGGCACCCACCAGTATGCCCACGGTGCTAGACTTCCCAACTGAGTTTGCAGCTGGTGTGCTTTCTGCTATTTTCTCAGTGCTTTTTGGTGGTGGTGGTGGTGGTGGTGGTGGTGATGGTGGTGTGTAAACAAGAGTAACATGAGGTTCTCTAGCTTGACATTAAACTGCCATTTAAACTTTGGCATTGCAAATCCAAATTAATCCCAAGCGAGTTAACGTCATCAGCCACTTCATAGAGAGTTTTATGGGAACCCATGGCACTCGTTAATGTATGATTGATTTAGCAATTGGTATGTGGATTTTTCTTATAATGTTCATTTTCCATAGATAAACATTAATATTAATTTGTAATGACAGGAATTTTATAAAATTAAAATGTTAATACACTACTTAAGCAATAAAATATGTAAAAGTTGGATTCCTTTGTAATACATTATTACTTAGATAATCTTGCACCAGACTTTTAATACTCTGGTGATTAGCCCCTTATCATAGCTTTTAAATTTCCAAAGGTGAAATGATAGATGCCTTGTAGTGGTTTTGATGTTATTCTTATGAAGGTAGGGTCTGATATGGAAAATAAAAGTAACATAAAAAGAAAATAAACTGATCTTGAAGTGATAGTCTTGAAATATTTTGTCAATTTATCTACATTTTCTTAGAAAATTTATTTATATTACCATTGACTTAAATCACCAAAAAAATTCTTTTAAAGAGAGCTAATAAATGTCTGTGGTGAAGTCAGCCCCTTTTTTGTTTTGATGTTTGTTTCTATTTAATTGAAGCTTAATTACTTAAGGTGTTTTTTTTTATCATCAGAAAATTAATCTGCAAGCTAATGCTTTGAGTATGTGGTCAACCAGTGTCAGGCAAGAAATATCTTATCTCAATTTAAAACAAAATAAAAATCCTCTAGTTAATGACTTTCCTTCTTTTGCACTGTGACATATATCCTTTCAAAGTCTATTGGCAGAAAATGGAAGATTTAAAGAAACACTTCTTTTACATACATGAATAGATTAAAATCAAGAGAGCCCAGAGGGTATTAGTTCTTTCATCAGTTTAATTCCAACACTTTTTGGGGAGAGGGGGAGGAATGTTTAAGACTACTGAGAATCCTTAGTTAATGGAGGATAGTCTCTTGTATTATTACATGTAGCTTTACCTTTCCTTGAAACTTTTTTCATTGCTTCCTTAGCAGAATAAGTTTTCTAAAACACTGGGCAGAAGGTCTAGAATACTTGAAATGCTAAGTAATTCTTAAAGATTCACTCTTGGAGAATGATAGGAAAAATTTTGGTAGTATTCTCCATATTGTGGAATTGTCAACTAAAGCCTTCTTATATTTAATAAATTCCACAAGAGCGCTGAGATTATTTTTTTAAGATATTTTGCCAACTCTTGATCAGACAGTGAAAGTGAGGAAATTTCAGTTGTATGCCAGACAAGATTGGCTCGTTTACTAAGAACATGTTTTTGCGTACATGGGAGTATTTGACATTAAGTTTAACTTTATCCATTATGAACCCAGGTTTAGCAGTAGAACTGTGCTAGCAAGAAAGGAAGTTAGTCATCTCTGCATATCCACCGCATGCTGCCTTCTTCATGGGAACAAGATTCCTTGTTAGATGTTCTTTCCCAGGAAAAATAGACATAAATATTAAGAATTACTAAGAGTAAGGGGATTGCTACTTGGCACTTACAGCTAGGAGCAAGAATTCAGACATATGTGTTTATCTAAATGATTTAAGCTAATACAAATAAATAGCCTTTGATAAACACTGAGAACAGCTGCACTTTTGCTCATGTCAAGGAAAACATTCATAAATACATGAATATGGATTTATTCATCTTTTCACTATCATCAAGCTCTTATATAGGAAGGTATATAAATAATGTTCTTTTTCAGTTTAGTCATCCATTTTTTAATATTGAGTAATCATGCTTAATAAAATGAGATATTAAAAGAGTTTTAAAGTTAATAAAGAATTCATAAATTCTAATTTTGTTCCTTTTTCTCCCCACTACAGGCTTGTGTCTCCAGAGCAGCCACCAAAGGCCAAGTTCCTGACCTTGGGGTCCAAATTCCGCTACAGCGGCCGCACCCAAGCCCAGACCCGCCAGGCAAGCACCCTCATTGACAGGCCTGCGCCACACTTTGAGCGCACATCTAGTAAGCGGGCCTCCAGGATTCTAGATGGAGGTAAAGATGTTCATGACAGTTTTGAATTCTATTAACCTTTCTAATCCAGTGGGATCAGAGAATGTTGATCTAGTTGATAAGGCCCCCAGTAATACCCTAGAGCAGTGGTTCTCAACCTTGGCTGCACATTAGAATCACCTGGGAATCTTTTTAAAATCCTGATTTCTGGGCCTCATCCTCCGAGGCCCAGCTACCCTCATCCGAGGATGAGGCCCAGAAATCAGGATTTTAAAGATTCCCAGGTGATTCTAATGTGCAGCCAAGGTTGAGAACCACTGCCCTAGAGGAATAGCCATTTTATTCTGAGTAAATAAAGTTTCATTTCTTATACTCACAAGAAAATTTTGTAGGATTTGAAGTTGTCATTCTGAATCTAAATGCTTTTTTTTTGCATTATCAGCGGACACAAATGTTCGCTAAGAGTTCTCACTGATGAGATGGTGGACAAACATATTTTTACTGGTCTGACTTAATTGTCAGATGTATTTTATGTGGCTTATTTTTTGGCAAAAATGTAATTCCAAAGGTTTTTGGTGTGGTAACATCTGAACTTCTATTCAAAGGAACTTAAAACATTCAGATTTTTATGATTTTAAAAACTCTGACTGAAGCTTACCAAACTTTCCAGAATATGAGAAACCATTTTTTGAGGAAACTCCACACTGTTTTCCGTAGTGTTTTAACAAAAAGAAAGGAAATATAATATATTCGTTTGTTCTTTCACCCATGGGGAGTGTATAAATTTGTATATTTTTCCTATTGGAATTCTAATTAGCTACATATTTGTAGTTTTATATAAATTATACATGGAAATAAATTGATGTTGCTTCCTTTCAAACATGTATGTATCTTATTACCCTAATTTTGAGTATAGCAGGTTTTCTAGAAAAAAGCTAAGGTTAATTTTATATTAGAATACTTTATGAAGGACTTAAATTTTTTCTACCTAAATGAAAATAATTCATATGGATGACTTTCTACCAGAAGAAGTAGCTTTTCAACATTTTTGTTGATTAATCTCAAAACATATACAAAAGTAGTAATATAAAATTTAAAAATTATCTTTTATTACTGTTATTAGCAAAAATCTTTTGATTGCTTGTTATTACTGATAACTTTCTGAAATATGAACTTGAACAACTATATTATAAATAATTATCTGAAACAGACAATATGCTAATAGATAAAAATATTCCCTCAGTGAAGGAAAAACACCCCCGGGTCTTGATCTATTTTTCCAGGAATAAACTTGGAAAACAGAACCAGGCATACACATGGAGATACTTCCCAGGATTTGTTGTTGGGCATCTTTGTATACATAATTATTAAATATTGATTCAGAAGAATCTTTAGTATATTTTTATGAGACCACCCACAAATTGCAAGGTGACCATAAAGTTGGTTCAAATAAATGTCCACATTTCCAAATGTAGGGATTTAAACTTAGTGAATTACTAATGTACAATAGCTATCCATATAACTTTTAGCTAATAGGCAACTGAACATTTTTCCAGTAAATCTGAAAAATGTTCCCATTCATGTAAATATTTCACAAACTTTGCCCCTTGCTACACAGAATTTATGCAAGTGCTGAATAAATGCAGGCAGTATTGTTTAATGCCCTGAGAGAAATCATTCCTCTTTCTGGAATGCTGTCTGTTTCAGCCTTTGTTTTAAACTATGAGGCTTTATAACTCTTATATTACAAATTTTGCAGTTTATAAAGAAGAGTAAACTACTGCGCTTTCTATGAGGTATATCAGCCGTGCTTAAGGAAATGTACCATCTTATATGGGCAACTAGTGCAGAGGGTTGTAATAGGTTTGTATCTGAAAACAATGATTTTTACAAGTAAAAGCCACAAACATGGCACAGTAATCCATTATTTTTCCTTTTGTGTTCTGGGCACTGTAATTCATCAGATGGGCAAGTTATCAAAGGATTATTGTTATTGTGAAAAATAGAAGGCTTTTCATGCCAGTGCAGGACCAGATAGCCAGTGAACTATTTGGTTAGGGCTTATGGTCTCCCTTTTTTTCCTCCTCAAAGCAAAGCTAGGCTGTAACCTGGTACTGAGCTTTATTTTTTCCCACCACTCTCCATTAGCATACCATTTTTGTTGCTGTTGACATGTGTTGTGTTTTCTTTTTCCTATTTAGTTTTTAAGTAAGGTTAGACTAGTGTAGGCTTGACAATCTTCTAGTGATTACATAGAACATAAAATTTAATATGATATCTAAAATCAAATATAAAAATAAAAGTCAATCCAGAACAGTTGTTTTAGAACAGTGAGAATCCAAGATTGGAAAATCAACCCAAAAAGTAGGCAAAGCAGTCATTTAAAAGAGTTTATGACCGAGATGTATTTGAGAGCAGGGGAAGCAAGGATTTCATGAAAATGGAAAATATAATAATCAGGGACACTAGTTACTTGGGTCATCTGGGAACGGAGGCCTATATGAGGAAGAAGAACCATCTCAGTTGAGATTTGAAGGATGAGTAGGAGGCAGCCTTGAGTAAAGCAGGAGATAAAGCATCGCAGGTAGCACGAGCAGCGGGTCTAGGGAGAGCTTATTACATTCCAGAACAGAAAGAAGTCAAGTGTAGTCAGAGCTTAGTAAGTGATGGGGAGAGGTAGGTTGGGGCAGGTCACACATGGCCTTGCACGCCATGGTAAAGAATGTGGTTTTTATTCTAGGTGTTGCAGGAAATTGCTGAAAGTTTTGTTTTGTTTTGTTTTTGGTGTGTGTGTACACACTTGTGCAAGCATATAAGTACACAGTGTTAATTTTTTTTAAACCAATAACTTTGCAATGTCTAAAATCACTAGAGGATGAGAGAAGAAGCAGGAGGACTGGTTGGGAATAGTCCAGATGAGACTAATGGTGGTCTTGCCTTGGGTGATAGTAGTCCAGTCAGCCATTTGGCACCCTAAGCTCAGTGGCTGGGGCTTACAAGCTTCTCAGGGTTCTACAAGTGTTTAAGACCTAAAAAAATTGTTTTAAATCCCCCCAAAATAAAAATTCCCCTGCAGTCTAAAATTAAAAAGTATGCAGCGTCAACATTTTGTCAACATCATTGTATAAATTTAAATTTCATTAAAATTTTGATACTTTATCTGAAACTATTTCTAGGTCAAATTTTTCCCATTTTGCAATAATTTCTGAGTATGTGTAGGGGTGCTTAGAAATCATAATCATAAGTTAAAATAATTACTCATAGCTGTGTACTTTCCAAGTGAAACCTATGAAAATCTTCTCAAAAGTTTATAAAAAAACACCTGGAAAATAATTATTCTTAATGTAAGATGTGATTTCATTTTATAACATTCTGTGGGCTTTTGAAAGCATGAGTCCTTAGGGATCTGGGTGGTCAAATAGAGATGGAAGAACTGGCCACATTTAGAATAGATCCAGCACTTGCTTGGACTTGCAGATGTTGAGGGGTGAAGGAAGAGACTTTGAGGTTTCTAGCTTGAGTTAGCTAGGTGCAAACAAGTATGAGGGTGATCAAAACAGAAAGACTGGGGAAGAAGGAAGTTTTAGGGCATGTGAGGGATGTAGATCAAAGGTTTCTTGTAAAACATGGGTTAGAAGTGCTTGATGCCTCCCAAGTTCAATGTGGTGGATCACATACAGTCCCTGCCCTCCAAAGGCTTGCAGCCTAAAGGCCTTTGTGGTTACTGGGCTTTTCTGGGGGCATGGATGTGAGCCAGTCAAGCACTTTTTATACAAGTAAAATGACCTCCGTGGTGTTCCCGTGGTTGAGGGAGAAACTACAGATAGACAGAGGCTTTGCCAACTGCTACTCACTTTGCCTTGTTGAGATCTGAGGCCATCTTGGGTTGATTTGCCATATGACACGGATTGCAACACAATCTATGTTTCTGCCCATCTGTAGGAGAGATGAAGGGAGTACATAAGGGCCAGGCTTGCTGAGTGGGAGGGTGTCTGTGTATTAGATTTACTGTTAGGTCAAGTTGAGGCATTCAGGAGGGACGTTAGAGAAATAAAAACTATTAAACAGAAATTCATTCCCTAAAATCTACCTTTACTATCTTGTCACAATTTTAAATGGCATTTAAATTAAAGTTCTTTTATGGGCGAATTCTTTAAGCTTATTGAAGCAAATAATTTTAATAAATAGATAATTATTTGTTTCAGAAATAATCTCAGATAAGATCAAAGATATCCTAGAGAATTAAAATAATGCTTACATTGTGATTCTGACACTGCTTTGACTCTCATTTCAGCTGGTCTTAGAGCTCCTTCTGCTGGCTGATTCCATGATAAGAGTATACCCTTAAAAAAACTGTTTTAGGAGCCTGTGTAGTTTAACGGATTAAAATTCAGAATAGTTTTAGAGTTCAGTGGTTTGGTTCAGTGATAGAGAGTCAGCCTGCAGACTGAAGGGCTCCAGGTTCGATCTGGTCAAGGGGCATTTACCTCGGTTGCACGCTCCCAACTCCCTTTCACTCTCTCTAAAAATAAATGGAAAAAATATCATTGGGTGAGGATAAAAAAATAAAATTAATAAATAAACTTTTTAAAAAGGTTTAAAAATTAGTTTATTTGATACGTTGATATTTTCAGAGCTCTAGCAACGTTCCTTTTGAGTACATGCTGCCTGCTTATCTGTGTAAAAGGGGGAAGTTTCATAAAGTTTGACCATTTACATGTCCTAATGTAATCCAAATGATCATTCTTTATTAGCTCTAGTTGGTGTTGTGGACCAAAGTCTTATGAAGGATTCTCCTGGCCCTGGGGAGGTGTCGGCATATGGCCGTGGAGTTGTCAGCACTGCCATAGTACAGGATGGGGATGGCAGAAGGGACCTCAGAAGCCCCACTAAAGCCCCACATGTGCACCTCACTGAAGGAAAGGTATGGTGAATTAGTAGAATATGTGATTTTAAATGTGTGCTTAGACTAGAGGCTATCTGTTGCATTTGTTGTTTCAGAACTCAAATAATATTTAAAATTAGTCAATGTATGTTCTCTTTTGATATAATTTCCAAATTTTCAAATATGCGAAGGCTCTTGCTTGTTTGGACAGGGTCTCTAACCTTTTTCTGAGTGGTGTTCAAAGCAAAATATTCCAATGTAAATTATATTAATGTAAGTAAGTAATTTTTAACTCTTCATAATCATTCTATTTAGTTAAATCCTCAAATGATAAAAGCTATGATGATTTGAAATTTATATTTGTTTGTTACAAGTAAATGTTAAAGTATAACCTGTATTATTATTTTAATCACATTGACTTACATTTTTTGAAATGAGCAAAGATGGTCTTTATGAAAAATATTATTTTTCATTAGTAATCTATAACTGATAAAGAAGACATTCTTAAGCAAGGGTAAGTGTTTTGTGAACAGTGAGAAGATGGCGTGTTGCTTTTGACCTTATTTTGTGTATACACCATAATGAATAGAGAAGTACCCTGTATTATGTTTTCAAATTTGTCACTGTTATTTATGTTACCTTGGGCAAGTGAAGTCACTTATAAGTTGATTTGAAGAGGCTTTGAGTTCTTCAGATCTCTTTTCTATATCTGCACAAAGCAACACACACACAAATGAAATCATTCTGTGGATTTATAATATTCTCTATACTTTAACTTTGAAAATTCTGAAGACATGCAGCATGAATTCATAAAGAACCTGCCAGATGAAGTAGCTGTCAGTTCTCTGGAATTCAACCTCTAATTCTCAGCATTGAGGGGGGTAGGGGGACCATGCGGACCCTTATGCCACAAGGACAAGGGCTTCAGGTAGCATGTGCCATCCAATCACCTGCATACCTTGTTAAAGAATTTGTATCATATTTCAAAAACTACTTGTTCAAAAATTGTTTAGTTAAAAATAGCACAAATTACACCCAACAAGGTATCCTTGAACTGCTGAAAAGTTGTCAAAATCTTTAATAATTATGCTGATGAGGCACCTAGGAGAGTGACTCCTTATATCTGAAACAGAAGAGCTGAGCAATTTGAAGTCTCTGTTCTATTTTGCCTGGTTAATTTGATACATCGTTATTTTTTTTTAAATTCTTTTAAATTCCAAAGGAAATTCTTATCTTCATTCAGCAAAAGATTGAGTATGTTGGCCTTTTGCCAATGCTTTGAATGTCTGTCAGCAACCAGGTTTAAAAGTAATAATGCTGTTTGAGTTTCATTGGATCTATTTGCAACCAGTCAGAAAACAGTAGTTAAGTCAGTCTATATCTATACATTTTATGATCAAAGTAGTTCAGTTTTCCTCTTTAAAATGGATCATTTAATTCATTTTCTAACCACACTGTGTTAATACAATCCCTACTTTTGAGTAAGATTGTTCACTAACTACTTATTTCTTCTCTCCTCTTTTGCCTCCATTTCTCCTTTGAATGTATCCGTGTAATTTCACATTCAACCATGGATTTGCTTCTGAAAACAGCCTGTTTTCATCTGCCCACCTTCACCGCTCATCCGCTATGCTTCATGTCTTTCCCCAAACCTGTTACCAGTCCCTGAAATGGACTTGCTTTCAGACATTTCGGAGGAAGACCCCTTTGGGGAGGCCGACCAAATCACACTAGACAGCTTAGAACTCCTTTCCACAGGGGAAACATCAGAGCAGGGGGACTGTGACGTCGCTGTCCTGGATTCTGTCTTGGATCCTATTGTAGCCCCTTCTCAGATTGACTGTCCTCCCACCCACGAGAAGCCTCTAAAAGAGGCTGACCACAAGGATTCTGAGTTTGGGTACTTTCCCTTCAGTTTCTGTAAATGCTTCCCACCCAGCTTCCCCTCACTCCTCGATGAAGATGGGTACCTTGCTTTCCCTAGCCTCCCCAAGGTCTGGGTCTCCTTCCTCCCCGCTGACGTCCAGCACTATGTTCCGATCACCTCCCCTTCATTCCTTCCCTCCCTCATCCTCATCTTTGGGCTCCTCCTCTCTGCTTCTCAGTCAGTGCCCTTTTCCCTCACATTTTCCCTTCCTCTGGCTCTGTCCCTCTGCTACCTGGAGGCCAAAGCCACGTCCTTTCATGTGTCTTATGACTGTGACTCGAATGACAGAACAGAGGAAGAGGAAGCAGTTGTTGGTACTCCAACATAAGCTTCAGTCTGTGCAGTCCACAAAACTACACTTCATCTTGTACCCCTCCCAATGTAGAGTGTAAACATGTGCATAAACTTTACCACTGATTACCCTCAATATAGTATGAGCTGCACATTTTCACACAGATATTTCAGTGCATGAGCAATAAGTGTAAGCAACTTCCTTTTCATTGATATCCATTGAGAGCTCCATACATTCTAAGTTTAAAGCAAAGTTATAGGATTCTTTTATAAATATCTGTAAACCTTACTAGGTCTTAAAAAAAGAACTTAGGATGCTGTGGCCATGACAGTAATTGACATGTATAAGTAGAGTTTCTATTAGTTCTTTTGTTAGAAAGCCAAGCTCATTCTTCTTGAATTTATGCATCTTTATTCCTTTATTCCTGACATTTGTAGTTCTAATCTCAGAAACTCCTTGTCTCTCTATGATTGTAGCATTTGGAGACCAGATGAATTTCAGGTAGTGTTTTATTTTGTATGAGTTTTTTTAAAAACTCTAAATCATATAATTATGTGACAGAGTCACCGTCAGGTATTTTGTAAGGAAAATATCTTTTCTTTAACAAATGTGTATGGAAAATGAAACAAGGCCTTTTGAAAATTTAGAATATATAGCCCTAAGGTTGGGCCTCTTAGTGTTCTTAAAATTAAATGTCTGGTTTGAAGATTTTTACCTCTTTATAGGACTACCTCTGCACTGCTAGTCAGTCCATGCTAACGTGTGCAGTATGTTTTTGATTGTTTTGTAAAATGTGGTCTGGTGACTTAGTGTCTTAGTATCCTGTGGTTACTATCAATAAATAGAGTAAGTCATGTAATTTAGAGCAAACCTAAAGACAAATGTGAAGATAATACTATGATTAGGCATTGAGAAGCCGCAAATCTGAAAGGGTACCTGCGGATGTGAAAGATGGACATTTTAGAGAATTCAGTGTTGACCCAGGAATTGGAAGATAGTTCTTAACAGATTATTGGTTGTGTCTAATATTTACCTTCTGATAAAAAAGATACTCTGAGCTTCTTGCTAACTTTTCAGAAATACTTGAATACATTTTTTAAAAAAAAAGAACATTTTGAACTCTCAGATTTGACACTGTCATTTGAATATGATATGTATATGATCCTGCTATCAATTAACATGTAAAGGTTAAACTATTTTCCTTTGGTATCAGAACCAGTATTTTTCTTTCTTGCCATTCCTGTCTTTGAGTTAGTCAGTAGTCACTAGTATTTATGCTAGTTTTAAATTTACAAATTTATTCTTTTGGGACGTTAAATACTGAGACTTGTCCAACTATGAAAACTGATTATTGTTTAAAGTATTTTATGAAAGAAAAGTGGCTATAGTTTAGAGTATTTTTAAATACCTACCATTGTAACATGAATGTAGCAAAGTAAACCAATTCCCTCCCCACCAAGGAAAGAAATCTGTGTAAAAAAACTGAATAATAGGGAATATTTGTCTCTGATATAAAGGGAAAGCCAAATTTTACATCATTTTACTTTGCCGTTATCACCAGTGGATTTAGACATTTCAAATTAGAACTGATTGAATTATGCCATTTTTACACTCTCAGATTTTTATTCTTGAGTAATAAAAAAAAATACTCAAAAGCAGTGCATGTAAACTAGGGACTGAGAAAGAGTGAAGCTTCCATTCTCCATTCCACCCTTGCAAAGGATCATTTCCATCATTTATACAACACTGTAGGTGAAGAAAGACCACGTGGCTTAATGTTCTGCATCTTCTGAGGGCCACGCAATAAAGGTTGGTAATGCTAGTTCACCATTGAAGTTCAAATACAACTTCTTTGCACCAATGGTAGAGTTTCCACTAATACTTCTGTTTCTGGCCACTTGCTGTATGACTTTTCAGGCGAAGATGGAAGAAGAGGAAACAGCTGGAGGAGGTGGATATTTTTTCTGCAAAATTAAAACATGGTGGCTGCTGCCTGCCATTATTCTTGTGTGGGGTGATGCACTTTCAGGGTTTATTTGTCAGTTTTGCTTGTTGTGGCTTTAGGTTCTTAAAATTGTTATTACTAGTAATGTCTTAGACTATCCAACTCTGGTGCTTGCTGATTGATACACTTACGTTTATTTGCTTTTTCCCCCTGTGTGTGATTTAATTTCACAGAAAAATTCCTTGAGAGTAGAAGGGGATAATATTTATGTCAGACATAGCAATTTAATGTTGGAGGTTTGTATAATTTAAGAAAACAACTGTCCTGATGGCTGCCAAGCTGCTATGGTTGGGAGGTCACTCACAGGCTGGCTGGCAACATTTTTCAAGCACAGCGCATGAAATGCATGGGGAAAATCCAACTCGGGAGTGCATGTTACCAGTCTGACTGTGTTCTTTTAAAGTGGCTTAGGTAGGAATATATTTACTAGAAGTTCTCAAAGTGACAACTGGGAAAACAAGTTCTATTTCATCAGATGAATAGTTCTTATCCATTAACCTTAAGTAAACTTATTCTCTCCTAATGGGTTATCTCAGGGCATGGAATCTGAAGTAATGTGATCCCATCCTTCCATCCTTAGTATTCATTAACCAGAACAGATATTTGTTGATTTGGCATTAAATCATTTTACTGTCGATGTATGTCCACAGTGGGTGGGTGGTGCCACTAAAATCCATGCAGTTAGGAATGTGGTTCAATTAAAGTATTCCATGTGAAAGTATGCTAATTAATGGGGTCGCTTTGATAAAGAAGGAAGAATAAATGAAAGACAAAAAAGAGGGGGGAAAAAAGAAAACCTAGCCACCCAGTTAGGAATGTCAACTATATTCCCCGTGTCACACGAGAACTTTTCTTCTCCTTATTTAGGGGGCAGTACATGGCAATGTATTTAGTGGTGAACTGCAATTCTCAATAATCCGACTAATCAATTTGGTTGCTTTTGGCAGCTTGTGATAATTATTGGAAATGTATTTTTGCATAACTTACTAAAATGCTTTAAAGTGTAATACATAACATTGCTTTGAACAAATACAAGAAATGTGCCTGATCTCAAGCCACAGTCATTTTTCCATGCCATGCAAAGATTTTAGATTTTCATTAGTTTTTGCAAATGGCTGTAGAAGCTCATAGATGAGCAACTATGCTTGTGCATGAATACGGAATACCTAATTTTATCAGATGCATGACCTGTTCCTCTGGGAGTGGGATGAAAGCTGTAATCAACAGGTGGCCCCCATGATTTTTGAAATGTAAGAAAAGGTTTAAAATTCAGTTAAAACCATTTCCTAAGCAATATTTAGTTTTAATTCCCACAAATACTAATTTTCAGGGCCAATATAAAAAATCCCACAAATACCATTCATCAGGGCCTACTCCAGTGAAAAATCAACCTGGTAATTACTCTTGCATTTTTGTCTGTATAAGGACCATTTGTTATGTGGGGCAGCTGGGCCTCACATTTGTGCTTAGCAACTACATGAAACCAGTATGAGGTTATTTTATGGAGAGATCAAATACAAGCAGCCTATGGAAGCTGTTATTTTTATTCCTTAAGATTAAAAGCCACTGCTGGAATTTCCTGAAAAAAATCAGTCCTTGCCCACCCTACCACTCCCCTTTTGTGGTAGATGATCTTGGACTGGCTTTCCCCTGAGGCCAAATGTGCTTCTGAGTCCACTTTTTCTATTTTTACTTGATTTTAATATGTTCACAGAAGGCAATTTTAGTAGTAGCCCTAATCAGGAAGGTGAGTCTACAGGAACAAATTCATAGGCTGCATTCAAATCTAACTATTAGAAAGAAGAGTTATTAGCCATTTTGAATATTAATTCCATGACTTCCTTCTAATAATGTAAATAGTTATTCCTTAAAAAATTCTAAACAAAGAAGACATTAGAACCCTTTAAGATGTGAATCATAAAAAATTACAAATTTGCTTTATGTTCAAATTTTGAGGGACTCATTAAGGTTATTCATAGGTGATAATATGGCTTTTGAGACTTGGCATTTTTCTTGCTTTAGTATGTTTTTTTAATCGTAAGTATGCTTTGTCTTATTTTTTGGTTTTATTTTTATTTTTGTCCTACTGGGTTTTTTCCCTTTTGGATTTCCCCCCCTTATTACGTTACACATTGCTAGGACCTGGATAAGGCCCAGGAGGACATACTGAAACATCAGGCTAGCATTAGTGAACTCAAGCGCAATTTTATGGAATCCACACCTGAGCCGCGCCCTAATGAATGGGAAAAACGACGTATCACACCTCTGTCCCTACAGATACAAGGGGTATGTCACTAGCTATTTGTTGGCTATATGTCTCCAGCTTTTCAGTAAAATTCAGGTTGCTAATCTCTGATGCTGATTCCCAGGAAGTTACAAAATGTTCCCAGGTGTGTGTGTGTGTTTTTTTTAAATGTAATTGCTAACAATTTTTTAAAATACTAAATATTTATTAACAATGTAATATGTGTTGACCTAGTTCTTAAGTAAATTGTATGAGTTACAAAGTACTTTTGAAATAGTTTCAGAATAACTATATTACTCAATTAGTGGCAGTGTATTTTTATATGGGACGACTTAGAAACTGAGATTATATGATATTTAATAAGCTTTTCAGATGTTGACTACTGAAATGAGAAAGTTTGCTTAATAAATAAATAAATAAATAATGTGGATCATTTTTAGAATGGGTTAAGGTAATTACTAAGAGGAAAATGAGTTAAAGTTAGCTTTGAAGACTGATGAACCCCGATGTAAACTTGCAAAATGTTGTATGATACAAGTTAATACTAAGACTTCCTCGTAATAAAATGTAGACTAGTGTTTTAAAAATGTTTTCAACCATAACATTCTTTTTTCTTTCCATGATTACTTCTCCCCATCAATATCGTATTGCCTTTTGAATCTATTCCCAAAATATTTCTCCATTCATTCCCATCTGTTCTTTTCTGATGCTCTCAAAATCTCTATTATCAGCCAAGAACTTCCCTGGGCTCTTTATCATACTTGAAGAGACAGTGATTATGCTATCTATAATACACAATTTAAAAAATATATAAAGGTCTTACCCTACAATTTCATCTTTCTCTTTTTCCTTATGCCCCTCACTTCTTCATAAGTTCATCATCCAGTCTGGCTTGAGTGTTGCCAAATTGTGCACATTTGATTTAGATAACCTCATGCTATTTTTATTAACCTTTTCATTAAAAGCAGAGCTGTTAGTTGCTTTAAATTTCTAAGTTTGTGATTGTGAAAGGAAAATAGCTCTTTAAGAACAGATGAGTAAAGATAATTGCTGAACTGAAAAAACTTTTGAAAATACGAAGATTTAAAACACCATGGTGTTTATAGGGTATTATGAAGTTGTATACAAGTTAAATTCTCATTTTTAGAATTTCTGAAGGTATTAATGTTCGTTTTTCAGCCATTGACTCTTGTGTTGTCTGGAGAAACAGTGTCTGGCATGCTAAGGTTTTGGCCTCACTGTATGTGCCCCTTCATCCATTTGTTCCGCTGACCCACACAATTGTTCTATGTTTGTGTTGTTGTCAATGTGATGTACTTGTCTTATTTGTTGATTATGTCTATTGTTTAAAACAATAGAGAAAAGGAGACCATCTTTTCAAGGATATTTTATCCATGACCGAGAAGCATCAGATGGCGGCAACACGGACAGTTGAAGAAAAAGCCCAGGCAGCAGACAAGGTGTTCACCTTGCATCCTTGGATCTACTCTTGCTTTTTCCTCTTTTCCTTTTATTTCTGTCCACAGCTATAAGATATTCTTTTTTTTTCTTATGGGATAATCTAAATTTTTTGAAAATAATTTTTGAGCATTAAAAAAGTTAAATCTCCATGTAGAGAAAGAAAGGGTCATTAGGTGAGATGTTGCAGAAGTACTTTATTTGAAAATTCACATTTTGAAATGTAGACATATCAATTGATTTAATAAGTGACCCCAATTTTGATGTATGTGGCTAGCAGTTGGGAAACCATGCTTTCATGTGAAAATGCACTGTTTGTACAATGCTGTATATACTGTGGTGGTGTTAAAATAACAGCATATGCAAATTAGGTTAGTAGTTTAGTAATTATCTTTGGAAACCTTTTGAATTTTCATTTTTATGATTTTCAATGGGGAAAAAAGATTTTTTTTGTGTACCATAGCAGCCTCTCAGACCTCTCTCTGTGCTCCTGCATATATGAATATCTGGCATTACTAAGAAGTTAGCTTTCTGTTGCCTTTACATTCTTATTCTTCTGTTTCTCCTGGTTTTGCTTAGCCAGCTGGTCAGCCAGTTAATTGCTGAGGCTAGAGAGCTTAGAGTCTGTTGGAGGAGACAGACAGGGACATGTAAAGGAGTAATTAGAAAATGTGGGTAAAGTCAGTGTAGAAGATGAAATGATTTTGTGTTTGAAGGTGATTGGGAAGGCTGATTGACCGTTGTGTCAGGAAGAGTTGGCATTTCAGCTGAGACCCTAATGATGAGAAGGAGGCAGATGTGAAGTTTCCCATGTATAGGGAAGAGCACATGAAACAGCCCAAGCAGGAACTAGTTTAAGGAACTGAAAGACCAAATGATAAGAGCTTAGGAACCATCGAGGAGGTCAGATCCTAGATCTTGTCGGGTCTTAAAGACCATATTGACATTTTGGAATTTTATTACATGAGTAGTGGGAAGCCACTGGGGAGCTTTAAACTGGATCTGACAGAGATCGCTCTGCTGCTGGGTGAGGAATGGAATACAGGGGATCTGAAAGAGAGCAGGGATCAGTAGTAAGTGTTTTCCTTCCACAAAAGTCTGATTTTGTAAATCAATAGAGAGTATTATTTATCAGAACATACAGTGGAATGGAGACGGAGGCAAAATAAATAGAAGATGAAGTCTTGCTCTAAAGGAATTTGAGGTATAGTTGAGGTGAAATATTTCCAGAATACTGAAAATAAGAAAGCTAAACCAAGTGGCATATTTATATATTAAAATGTTAGCATGAAGTCCAAAGCCAATTAGACTCTGTGTAAAATGATGACTTTAATATTACATGCTTTAAAAAGTTATGTATTTTTGAAGCTTTCACACCCAGAAGCAAGTCAAATGGTAGAGTTGTTCAATTCAAAGTAATGTCCTTGTATTTTTGCTGTAGGATACTTTGGAATTTTGTTGGAGATGTTTACAGTTAATCATTTTTCTGGATGTCATGGTTTAGGAATGTACAATGTAAAATATGATGTCGTAGACATTACATTAAAAAGACTTTATGTGAAGTTTAAACCTGGAATTTGCCCACTGTTAAGCTCCAAAATGGTTTATCTGCACTTGAAGTTACTGCTCTTTTCTTGTTCTTTTCTTCTCCAGCACATGCAAGAAAATATGTACTTATTTGACATACATATGACTTGTTACTGCAATCATCCTTCATCCATCCTCCCAACAAACTTTGGTTTACCGCTTGCAGTGTGTCTTTTTCCCCAGATAACAACGTATCACTGCTATTAGTTGGAAGTGTGTGAGTAGTTATGTCTACTGCAGTGTTTTGACTTTTAACAGGATATCTTACAAATTTTTGTCTTTGTTGCATCTTCATTTTGCTACTGATTTTGCAGGGTTTTTGATTATCTTTAAATTGTAATCCTTGCCGAAACCGGTTTGGCTCAGTGGATAGAGCATTGGCCTGTGGACTGAAAGGACCCAGGTTCGATTCCGGTCAAGGGCATGTACGTTGGTTGCGGGCATATCCCCAGTAGGGGGTGTGCAAGAGGCAGCTGATCGGTGTTTCTCTCTCATCGATGTTTCTAACTCTCTATCTCTCTCCCTTCCTCTCTGTAAAAAATCAATAAAATATATTAAAAATAAATAAATAAATTGTAATCCTTAATGAAATGTAAAATAAAATTATGCATGAGTATAATTTGACCAAATTTTCCAGATTTTTGTAATATGGGTTTTACAGATTTAAAAAACAGTAGTAGTTTCTTGTTTAAAAGTTAATGTATTGAACTTTCAAAATGGATTCTGTTTGAATATGAATAATTTTGAGAGTAGAGCAGGAAGTTGGAAACCAAATAATTCTTTAATAGATTATGACATACTTAAACTTGTATAATACAAGAGTCTTATGAGTTAGTAGTGATTACATAGACTATAGTTTTGAAGTACTTTTGAAATATCTATTTTATTGAATAATTAAATGAATCACACTTATTTAAATTCCCCATGATCTCTTACTGGCAAGGACCCCCTCTCCACCAACTCAACCCCTAGGGATGGTGTAATTATGGAGATTATAATGAAAATTAATTGGTCCAGAAGATTTCTTTTTCTCCTGAATATTGCAAATGCTTATGCACCTAGCCCTCCTCATCTCATTGTCCCTATTCCTCACTCCTCCTAGTGCACTGTCCCAAAAGGGGCATCCCTAAAATGTCATTCATTCATCCACCTAACCAATCATCCATCCATCCATACATCCATCCATCTATCCATCCATCTTTAAGCTCTTATGAGCAGTGGGCACTTCATGGTGACTCTGCTGTTGGCATTCTGATACCTGGGACAGTCCTCAACTTTCCTGTTGTGCAGGTTAGGGACCATCACTCAAGGGCCAGAAACGTGAAGATTACATTTGTCTTAGTTTTTCAGGAACAGATGATTTTAACATTGCTCACTGAGTTTTCACCCCTGAGTTTGTTTTCCTATTTAGAATTCTTTTCTTTACCTGTTTCTTATTGGGGAAAAAAGGTGCTATTCATTCAGTGGCATTTTAGCATGTCTGAGGGAATTTCTGTGGGTTGCTATCAGATCACTTGTGAACAAAGTAATGTGGAAAAGGGAAGAGTTAGTAGGAGCTGGAATGGTTATAGAAGGGCATGCACAAAATATGGAATATTAGGTGTACCTCAGACAGATGACGAAATTCGGAAGGGCATTGGAGGCAGGATAGGACCACCAAAGCTGTGACACAGGAATAAGCATTTCAGGTGGAGGGGCCACTGAAGAGTTCCTTCTGAAGAAAGAGGCCTACTCTGAAGAGCTGCCTCAAGAATATACAACACAGTGTTTGATGGATAGGTAGGCCATGCTCAGTTTGTGATGAAAGTTTTAGTGACAAACCAAGGAGCCTTAGGCTGTTTTCATAGGTTGGAACTATCACCAATTCTCAAGCAGTGTGGAAAGCTGGCATTCAGGCAAACCGCCACATGCACCTGCTGCAGAATCTTTGCTAATCCTCACCTTTCTTTCAATTTATGCTGTTCTGTGATTCATGTATAACCTTTCCTTTTTTTCAATAGGTCACTGCTCTCTGTTCCAACTTATTGGTAACTCTTTGCTCTTCCTTTTCTGACCTCTCTAGAGCCTAGAAGAGGAGATAACATCAATTTTGTTTAGCGAAAAGGGCTTTTCTGATAGCATGAAAGCTACCTTCACCTCAGCCACCACTTGGACAGCAGAGGGCACTGGTGTGAACTATAATGCACCTTGTGAAACACTTTCTTCCTCGCCCTTCTCAAAGTTGCCTGAGGTGCATTTTACTTTGTTTCCCCTGTTTTTAAAAGCCACATATGAGAGTGATTTTTATTTTTTAAATATCCAGGAACCTTTCCCTCAGTGCTTTCATTGATGAAATTAATCCTTCCTGGGAAAAACATTCATGAAATAATGACTGAATTTGGATGTAAGGAAAGGATACAGAATGGATATTCTGCTTTTGGGTGCCCCCCATCAACCCCCCCCCAAAAAAAAAATCTACCTAAATTCAGAGAATCATTTAAACCACTAAAGCCCAGATTCAGAGTTGTTATGTGGAGGGAAACCCTCAAGCAAGTAAAGAAGCTAAGTATGCTTCCAGAATTAAAAGTATTCAAAACCCAAGTGTCTTTCAGGCATCTTCTGATGGCTTATCATTTAAAAACTGTTTACATGGAAAAATCTGAGATGCCTGCCATATTCAGTGAAATAATTGTTTTCATTTTTTTGGAATGAACTTAAGGTATTCCCTGAACTTGGGCAGAACCCATCTGAGCATTTGAAGTTAAATATAATAATAATGTACCGACCTATAATAATAATGAACATTTAGGCACTATACTACTTACTAGAGTCAATTCACTCCCAAGGAATAAACGTCTGCAGGGGGGCAAGGGTGAGCATCTCAAATAACAAAGTTGGTTCATTGAGGTTTTCAAAGATGCTAGGAGGAGGGCTGAATTCTAAGAGAGAACACTTGCAATCATCGTTGACATCCACCCTAATGTCATGTACCCCGTTTGTTAATCTGCAATCTAATTTGGATGTTAATAGCCAATTCTGGAATAACATTTTTATGTTATCTGAGATCAACAATAATTTTGCCAGTTAAAGCTGTGTTTTTAAATGAGCTAGTATAAAACAAAAATTTCATCTTACTAATACTGTATTCATTTAGGAATCAGGGTTTCAGTTAGGCTTTATAATCTGATTAAGACCAAAACTGTTTGTTGAATTGGTTTTATAATTTTAAAATTTATACTTTAAGATAATCAGTAAGCTTCGGTATAATTCCAGTTTTTCCCCTGTCTTTTCAATTATATGAGTAGAGCTAATAGATACAACTATACTAAAAGCACTTTATTTCTTTGGGAGATGCTGGCTGTTTTGTGTTTTTGTTTTCTTGTGTAAGCTTTTTACCTCTGTCTTGTCTTTCATGTGACCTTGAGCAAAGGTTTTGTGGATGTTGATTCGCACTGTTCTGTCTTCACAGTGTCAGATGTTTGTTTAGTGGGTGTTGAGGTAAAACTTTATTGATTTGTGTCCTCGGTTGCTTTTTGTTTCACAGAAACACGCTCCTGAGTCCGAAGGGCCTTGCGCTGGAGCCAGTGATGCTGTTAAGGTTCTCCCCTTTCCATGTTAACACCATTGCCTGCCGCTTCTGACCCGTCACGTTTCCCCGCTTCCCTTTCAGTCAGCCATCATAACCATCACTGTTTTCCTCCATGACATGAACCTTCCATCAGTTGGTTTGGGTTTCCATCATTTTTATTTATTCATATATTTTTGTTCTCCCTCATCCGCTTCTTTTTTGTGCAGAGTTCACATGAGACTCTGAATGTAGTGGAGGAGAAGAAGCAGGCAGAGGTTGGGAAAGACGAAAGAGTAATCACAGAAGAAATGAACGGTAAAGAGCTATCACCCGGGAGTGGTCCTGGGGACATCCGTAAGGTGGAACCTCTGACACAGAAAGACTCCACCTCCCTGTCTTCTGAGAGCAGCAGCAGCAGTGAGAGCGAGGAGGAAGATGTGGGCGAGTACCGGCCCCACCACCGGGTGACTGAGGGCACCATAAAGGAAGAGCAGGAGGAGGATGAAGAAGAGGTGGAGGAAGAACCCAGCCAAGCATCCCAGGTAGTAGAGAGGGAGGCAGCAGTGCCAGAAGCCAGCCCAGGCAGACACGCAGGGGCCAGTGTAAGCACAGTAGAAACAGTGACCCAGGAGCATGTAGTTGCCCCTAAGATACCTGCAGAGAAGAGTGTACACGAAGGCGCATTTAAGCAAGATGTGAGCGAAGACACAGAGGACGAGCAACATAAAGTTAACGGAGAGGTGTCTCATGTTGACATTGATGTTTTGCCACAAATTATTTGTTGTTCAGAGGTAAATGGGAGACCCAAGCGGGAGCTAAACTCTGGAGCTATTTCTCAGGTGGAGAACACCTGCTTTTCTTCTTCTCCTGTCCTCCCAACTCTCCCTCAGCTTTTTCAGCAAGATTCTGACTTTGATCTCACGGGAGGAAGGGGAAAGCACTGCTTTGTAGACTTTCTGCCAGCTCGGTCAAGGTTGCTAGCTCCTTTCCTGCAACTGAATCATCTCATCCAGTAAACTCCTACAACCCACCACATCATTTTTCCGTTCTTGTTTCACATCTAAATTTTTCTTTGCATGTTTTGGATGTTTTCAACTTTTTGTCTTTGGTTGCACTGCTTCATACTTAATGCCTTTTTCATTGGTTTAATTAGAAAATTGTATATGCATTATTGGAAAATGGTCAGTGTGAGTGTGTGTGCTGCTGCTGTGACTGGCTTTGATTTTTTGGCTCATTGTCTCTTCAGCTTAAGAGTTTTAGAAATGGCAGCAGGCCCTGTTTACCTTGGTGCTCTGAATTCAACATCTGGCAGTGATGAAAACAGTATTTCTTGAATACCACTATGATTTCTGGGGATTGTATGGTTTGGTTAAAGCCTTTTCTTTCCTTTTAGGCAGCCAGAGGCTAACTGTTTAATAGATTACAGTACTCTTTTCATTCTGTCCTATCATCAATTCTGGATTATTTGCAAGTTGATCATATGTTCTGTGGATTATCTACAGGGTATCTCAGTCTTTTCTTTTTTCTCTTCAAGATAGAGAACTTACTTCACTCTTCTTGGATAAAGTCTTGGTCTCTAGGTGCAGTGTCTCTGCATTGGAAGTTAAAGTTTTGTTGAGGGAAGGCAAACTTCCGGGTGAATATGTCTTCATTCTAAGTTGAGCTGCCCACAGTGCAGGGATTGTCCACATTTTCTCTCTTTAATGAGCTGGAAAAATCTTGAAGTAACTTTGTCTTGAAATAATTAAAAGGATTTTTATTATATCACTTTTAAACTTCCTGGTTCTCTTCAGAGAACACATTTGTGAGTCCTGGAAGGCTCTATTATTTTCCACATTTACCTTACATTACACTTGGTAGTATTTTGCTGGTAGTAGTTAGTGTGGCGTTGTATTAAACAGCAGACCATGTTAACGGGCCATGAACCTCTCCTTTAATGTTTTTAATGTTTAATTGTTCAAAGCATTAATATCATATTCGTGGACTAATCCTAGATATAACAGTTTAACTTAGCTAATAGAGAAGAAACACTGCAAGTTTTAGACAAGTATAATTGGAAACAGTAAGACTTGAAAATGGGATCTCCTTGTCAATAGAGCAGAAAAGGCTTTTTGAAAAAAAGAGCAAATTTTAGCCTACCTAGATGGTGTACCACTTAAAGACAACAAGCCTTCACACAAATCATGTGGTTCTTTAAACCGCAGTAAAAATTGAGGCAGGTCACTTCACATAGTTCATTCTGTGTTTTCTTTTCAAGTTTATCATTACTTACCCAAAGCTAAAGTTTATATGTCATTGTATACCAGGCTTGACACGTAAGTAGTTTGGGGACCATCATAACCTGAAGCGTATCATAATTTGAAGCATACCATAATTTATGGAGCAATTATGTTAATTTATTCTTATCATATATACATACATATGTATATGCATATGATACTTGAAGGAAAGTGTTTTTCTTTTGTGTCTTTTGTCTTAGATTATTTGCTTTTACTCTTTTCTTCTGTGAATGAGTGTGTGTTTGGATATACATATTTCTTGCAATTATTTTTGAAGGCTCCGTTAAGTGCTTTTACTACATTACCTCTAGAATTTATTTTCCTCTTCCTTTCCACCTCAGCCACCCGTGGTAAAGACAGAGATGGTAACAATTTCTGATGCCTCACAAAGGACAGAAATCTCCACCAAGGAAGTCCCTATTGTTCAAACAGAAACCAAGACCATCACATATGAGTCTCCACAGGTGCGAAAGCTCTAGATTTGGACTGAGCTCGTTTTCACTTAGTCTGTTTCTCTCTCCATTCTGTCTTCTCCTAGTTTACATGTTTCTGACTTTGATGTACTGTTTTATATCTCCATTTCATAATTGTACTTCAACAACATAACTTGTTATGTTGCTTCTTAGATTGAGACAGAGAACTATAATCAAATTGGTGACCCAGTAATTTCAGGGAGGAAGCATACACATGATTATTGAAGACAGGCAGTACCAATCTTGTTCATATTATTATAAGCCATTTGTGGCTTAAAGTATCTAGGATTGTTTATGTATACTTGGGAAACAGATCATCTTACAGAGTTTATGGGATATGATATAATTTGTGCATTAGTAGGATTTAGGCATCCCTCCCCATGAAGACAGATCCAGTCAACTCTTGCTTGCAAGTTTACATACATGTGCACACACATTTGTGCTTCTCCTTCACGTGGGATTATTTTCTGAAGACATATGCCATTATTGTTATGTAAATGTGTAACTGTTCTAAACAAATGTGTGTGTTTGATTTTAAGTATTCAGACATTGATTCTGTAAATATTTGAGATAATCATTAAGATATCTAACTTTAAGGGTAACAGAAAAAGGGAAAATATTTATCATTTCAAATGGAACTGTTTAGAAATTTGGACAACTATTTTCTTGACTGAGAAATTTAATGTTCATAGTAGGATTGTGCTATGGTGAAAAATGGTAGATTATTACCCTCTTGAAATATTTTTTAATGCATATATATGTGAAGCATTCCTCAACATTATTTTAGAAATGCTGTGCATAGAGCCCACATGAGCACAAACAGGTCTTTGATGCATGGGTGTGGTGGGAGAGCAGGTACCCGTGTGTTCCTATGGTGGTGAGTGCCCTTGTGAAGAAATACATTGCATGAACCAAATGCGAGAGAGATTGCCTCTTACCTTATAGTAAGAAGGGCTCTGGACCTTCCAGTTATTTCCCTGTGTCCGGAAACAGGAGGCAAATATATATGGTGACCTTAAACTAACATTTAGTTTATGATCTTAGTATAAACTAAAAATATTAATTTGCTGTATTTCCACTAGTAAATTCTAGAACTTTCTACCAGAAAAGTATCAAAACAAACAAATTAAAACCTATTTAGTTATCTGCACAGGATTTATATATGAGATATATATATATATATATATATATATAGAGAGAGAGAGAGAGAGAAGAGAGAGAGAGAGAGAGCGCGCGCACACATGCATGCATACTTATTGAAATATATATCTTCATAATATACTCACAACACACGGACTGTTACAGGAAAAGTGTTGTTTAAAAATCTAAAGATAAGCATAATAACCAAACGATGTTAATTTAGTCTATTCTAGTTAGGTTCTGTTGCTTAGTAATCTGAGAAAACGTTTATCTATTTTTACCCACCTGTGCTTAAATAACAAGCCAGCACTTCTGGTCACTTTGGCAACGTCTCTGCCTGGTTCTCTGGTTTCTTTTTCAATTTATATAAATGGCTTTCAATCAACTTCTCTCATGACCCCCATAGCTTTCAGACCCAACTCCTTTTTCCACTCTTCTTTTTTTTCTGTCTCTCTGTGTCCGGGGTTTGCTTCTCCCCGTGCATTTAGTCTTTGATTTTACTCTGTTTAAATGTCAGCCAATGCTGGTCAGTAAATTACCACTATAAACATGAAAAGGCAGATAGCATCTTCTGCCAACTACAAAGATTTTAAAAGATGCATATTTGATGGGAAGGGCATCTTCTATGAAAACATAATGGAAGTTAAGCATTGCTTTGTATTTTTCCCCCAACTATCCAAAGATTGATGGCGGGGCTGCTGGTGACTCGGGCACGTTACTGACTGCACAAACCATCACATCTGATTCCGTGTCAACAACCACTACCACACACATCACTAAGGTAAAGCAATCCAGGGGAGTCCTAGGGAGAGGACGGTACATTGCAAACAGGATCCTTTCTGAATTGTTTCTTTGTTCCTATATACACTTCAAAGTAATACACAGACAGTGCCAGTGGAATAAACCTGCAGACATTTAAAGTATCCAAGAAAATTGGGCTCCATTGACAAATGTATTTAAAACAAATTGCAATTCGTAAAGTGCAAAGGGGTAAAAATATGTATGAATCGCTATACCTAAGACAGCTACAGGAATAGAGAGAATTTAATAAAAGTGGAAGCACAGGTTTATTAGAAAGTACAAAGTGAATGTTGACTATCATTCAGCATTTTCAACAAGTTCTTCAAATAATGTAAATGTCCCCTCATTGATTGACGATCCCAGTATGTTGACTTGGGGTGTGTCTCCAGGTCATTCTCTAACTGTTTAGCACCAGATCATATGACCAGTGATTCTGGAGGTGTGGTCTCTGGACTAGCAGCAGCCTGACTTGTTACAGGTGTGAGCACTGTGGTCCCACTTAGGACCCGCTGAAACCCTGGGCCCTCCCATGCTTGCCACAGTCCTCAGATTGCTAACTCCAGTTTTATTTTCCAGTAATCCCTTTTGCTTCTACTCCTCATATTTGGTTAGTGCCTGAAGGTCTTAAATGTATCCTTTGTGCATTCCATACCCCTTATTTCAACAAAAAATCTTTGTAAATTAACAAATGCCACATAAATGAGAGATAGTATGGCTGAGCATTTTAAAGCACATCCAGTTATTAAGGCAAGTGATAGCCTTGTTTCGTATGATGAAGTGCAATCACTGTGCTTAGTGTATACATTTATCAGAGTTCCAAAGGTTGGGTGTGTGCTTCCTCAGGACCGTGTGGATTTGCTCCCTGTCTGTTTAGGATGTCGCAGGCATGTGATCTCTTCACCGTCAGGGCCCAGGCTCTGTTATGTTAGCTGCTCTATACCAGTGACTGTGTGGCGGTTCACCCAAGAGCTCCTGCCCACACGGCCCGTCACATAGCCCTGTCAGCCATGTGCCATGTCCACACGTACAACTACATGCAGAAGCTGTGATTACAGCATTGAATGACAGCCATATCCAAGTCCTCTTTATTTCTGTTATTGCACTAAACCAAAGAAACAAAATCACCAAATAGAGTTGTATGATGAGAATTAAGCAGACGAAACGATAACATCAGGCAATTTCCAAACCTAAAGATACTGAAATTGTTAGAATTCCTTGTAACTTTCCATAAACCAAATAATTATTTCTTCTCCTTTTAAAAAATTGACCAATTGGGAATGAGGAGACTCAGGAAGTTCTAACAGTGTCCCAGTGGAACCACGTGGATTAAATGGCAGCTGGTCCCTCTCAGTGTCACCTGAATCTTGATACATTAGGTTTTAAGGTTGCTTTCAGTTGAGGAACTTACGGATGCTATAGCTTTAACCACAGGATTCTCCATTGAGCTTAAAAATAAGGAAAGTTTCCAGAACATCAGCCTTCCCTGCTCAGTGTGCATTGCCTTACAATGATCAGAAGGTCTAGGTGTGCCCCATCTGTTTTTCCTGACTCTGTGTACACAGCTTTAGTGATTACCATTTTCCCCCTTCTTTTCTTTATGACCTTTAGACAATAAAAGGTGGAATATCTGAAACAAGAATTGAGAAACGCATTGTGATCACAGGAGATACAGATATTGACCATGACCAGGTAAAGTCCTGCGGTTCTGGTTCTGAAATTGACCGTGTTTATTTTCTAAGTTTTGTGCCTGTCATCATGTCACATAAAGTATATCCTACCCCTCCTCCCAGTGCCTCCTGGCTGAATCCTAAGTGTGGGATTAAGGCCTGGATATACCTGTCCTTTCAGCCTTCCTAACTCTGGGGATTGCTTTTTATTTCCCACTGGATTTCTGTGTACTTTGGGGTCAGAATAATTGTGGGGACTCCTGGCAGCTGTTAGGTATTCATGTGGGCCTGGTTTAAGGCAAGTCATCAGTGATTAAAAAATGAATGGCAGCTTAATGATCCTGACTTCCAAAAAATAAGCCACTAAGTTTGCCTTATGACTACTTTTAGGAACTTAAAAGAAATTTTTACAGCATTAGGAAAATTGGGTTGTTTACTACTAATTATGACTATTATTGAGGGGTGGGAGAAAGTAATCTAAGGTCTTTTACAAAGTGAAAATTTATATGTATTCAGAAAAAAAATTGAAAGAATTGAGCTTCTATTCTAATGTTGAGCAGGATGCATGATTTAAAAGCAGGTGGTAAATAGAACTGCTGGAGACTTTGAGAGTTGTTTTAATTTTAGGTAGCAATTTCAAGTGATAAGTTTTTGTTTCATTATTTTCTGAGTGATTTTAACTCAACTTTAAAGGAGACCAAGCTGTTTTTCTTTTTTAAAAAATTTTTGTTGATTTCAGAGAGGAAGGGAAAGGGAGAGAGAGAGAGAGAGAAACATAAATGATGAGAGAGAATCACCAATTGGCTGCCTCCTGCCCTGGGAATTGAGCCAGAAACCCAAGCGTGTGCCCTGACAGGGAATCAAACCGTGACCTCCTGGTTCATAGGTTGACACTCTAGCACTGAGGCACACTAGCTGGGCCAAGATGTTTTCTTGTATAACAACTTGAAGAAAAGAAAAAGAAATGTTCAGTTGACCAAACAGCTGGAGAGGAGGAACAAATGTTTGTTAACCAGCTTTGAATGCAATATAGAATTCAGGAAAGAGAATTTTAGAGAACAAAATTTCTCATGTAATAAAGTCTCACTGTATATGACCAAAATAGAAATAGATTTTCTACTATGCCCTCTAAGGATATTACTGTTTTTGTTAAATCCCTGTAAACAGGGTTTACTTACATATTACATATGTATTTTTTTATTTCCTTGCATTATTAGAGGTTGAAGGGTTGCCCTGACTCTGAATTTTGACCTAAGAGCGCAGATTCCTAGTGGTAACCAGCACATGAGCCTATTTACCACTGGAGAGTGAATTACCTGCTTGGAAACCAAGCCTCCAGTTTCCCATGGAGAGGATTTTTCTGCCTCTGTTCACTGTACAATCTTGAGTTCTTTTGACCTTAAGTTGGACCAAAGGTATTCTCGCTCTTTTGCTCTAGGACTCTCGCTCAGCAAGCATTTGTTAATCCCTACAGCATGCTAGCAGGAGCCCACTTTCTGTGGTAGTAATGGAAATTGGGTCTTCTCCCAGCCTTTGTGTCTTTTACCCTTTGTCTTCTGTGAACTGAGATCTTTCCGGCTTTCAGAAGCCACTATTTTCTCTTAGGGATTACTCTCAGATTTTATTTTATGTGCATTCTTTTGTCTTTTGGCCTGTTTTAACTGAAAATAAAGCTAGGCAGCACTGCTTCTGAAAGGCAGGTAGAAAAAACACAGACTGAAATATAAGTACCCAGGTAGCACACGTTCCTAACTCTTACAGTAGAAAACAGTCATGGTATGGCTGCAGCATTAACTTGCTGTGAGTACACGCCTCCCACTTGTATGATGTGCTTCAACCCATTTTAAAACTGAGGTCAGATATCCAAATGATGAGAATAGAGATGCAACTTTTATACTTTTTCATGTCTAATCATAAGATGGCATACACTTTTCTGACTAAATTTAATTGTGGCTTTTGGTCTGATTGTCACTAGAAACTCATGATGAGTTCGCCTACCCTTTAACACCTGTGATGAGATGACAGAACTATTTGAAATTAAAGGAGAGATATCACCTCTCTGCTCAAAACCGACGTTGATCATGTGGTGACTTTAATATCATTGACACCTTTTCAGCTCCTTGCCTACGTTAAAAGAATCTTCATAGTGGAAGGAATTGCTTCATCTGAGCAAGACAGGAAAAAAGGAATCTCTTGTGCTGGCAAATTAAAGAGGCGTGCTTTCATCGAAACCTGCTTTGTGGGTTCTTTACCCTGTGCCAGTCAGTCCTTGACACTCACCTCTCTACTGGGGATGCGTAAATGACCTGGCCCTTGCTCCTCGGTCAGCTGTCAGCCGAAGGTTACTGAGCAAAACCCAGTTCTAAGAAAATAACTTATCAGTTTGGCAATGTGATATGTTTTCTCACAGTCTATTATTACCATAATAAATTAACATTTAAATTGTTTAATTTCATGTCTAATATCATGAAATGAAAGGAACTAATGGCAAACTGATTTTGACTATTTAAAGATGACTAGCAGTTTTTTAGTTTCTCTACTTGTTAATTGGTTTTGAAAGAGATAGAGATAGATAGGTAGAGAGAGAGAGAGAGAGAGAGAGAGAGAGAGAGAGAGAGAGAGAGATAGATGTTGTTGTTGTTCCACTTACTTATGTATTCATTGGTTGATTCTTATATGTGCCCTGACTGGGGACTAAACCCACAACCTTGGTGTATGGGACTACGCTCTACCCAACGGAGCTACCCGGCCTGGGCCTTTTCTAATTAAAGCATGTTTCACATGTGTTACCTACCCATGAACATAATTTGTATTTTCGCTTTTAACATTTACACTGTTTTAATGTAACCTTTGGAGTGAACATAAACCTAAAAGTATCTGATACGTTGCCTGTGGCTACATTTGACTTCCATCAAAGCTCCAATCCTTCCCAATTAGGATTCCACAGACCACCATGGGTAGGCAATTTTGATCGTCCTAGTCTCCCTCTTCCCTCTGAACACATGTATACTCCTGTTCGAATTGTGGTCCATACACAGAAGCACCTCCTGACCTTCTTTGAGATAAGAGCCCTGCTCTTCACCCCACTCCACTCTTGCCCTCTGGTTCTCCTGCTCTGCTTACCAGACAAGCAGTGGAGCTGCTACTCATATTGGAGGTTGGTCCCTGTCTGACTTTGCTTTTGTCCTGACACAGGTGGGATGCAAGAGATTGTCCCCTAGTGGAAACTTAGGCACCCCTAGGTGTCTTCCAAGCTTCTGTGCAAAAGTTTTTTGGTGTAAAAACAATTTCTTCTTTTGTAGCTTACCTCTTTTGTGTGGAATGAGGCTCAGGGTTTTGCTCAGTAACCTTCCGGCTGACAGAAACTATATTTCAAACAAGAAATGCAGTTGTCCCCTTAGGCAGTTGACAGCAACAGGAACCATCATGCTGCTTTTCCTAGAAACATATTTTCCTTATGAGGCAGGGTGCTCTCTAGCCTGGTAGAATTTCTTTGTTTCGGAGATCTGTCCTCGATTTTTAGTGTTCTTCTATGGTGTTTTCTTGTACTTTTCTTTAAAAATCTTTCCCCTCCAAAAAAGGATCTTTCCATTTGCCACAGCACTTTCTGATACATTGCAGGAAACCTTATTGCTATTCACAACAGGTCCAGAGAGAACTAGTGGGAGGGCACCGAGGCCCACTCCTGCCCTGCAGCCCCAGCAGGAAAGACCCATTAACCTTTGCTCCTTCACTGTTTTCAGCTGTAAAGTAGGGATCTGTCTACTCTGGTCTTAAGCTATACTGATTGTGTGTCACTATCATTTGTGGGTTTTCATTGTTCTGTGCCCTAGAAGTTTATAGATATTTTTACTGCAACATTTTTCAGTTCAACAAACATTTTACTCAAACAATTACTGAGAGCCCAAAGAGGGCAGAGGTATGTGAGGCCTGGTCCTGCACCTTGGGGTTTCAGGCAGTTGGTCAATAGCAAGTGTCACTTGAGTGTACAGGGTAAGCTCTATGCTGTACACCATCCCTTCTATCCTTACAACAGACCTGAACATGCTCTCTGCAGCCTGAGCATTTAATCTCAGGTGATAGGTGAGAATGCTAAGGTCAGAGCAGATCCGTTTTCCCAGGTCTTGTGGTGAGGGCACGGCTGGGATTCAGAGCCAGCCTGCTTCTTCCACATGTGTTATTATTTGAAAGTAGCCTGGACAAATGGGGACTCTGGGGAAATGAGAAGCAGCCTCTAAAAGGAACAATGAGCCCATTTCAAGTCTTCCTGCTTCCTCAAAGAGCAGAGGCGGAATCCCAGGTGCTCAGCAGGCATGTGTTTGGCCACCTTGAGAAGGAGCCCTTTCCTCCACTGACAGTGTTCTCTCCTGACCCTGGCAGGCGCTGGCCCAGGCCATCAGGGAAGCCAGAGAGCAGCACCCCGACATGTCGGTCACGAGAGTGGTGGTGCACAAGGAAACTGAGTTGGACGAAGGGGAAGAGTAAGTCAAGGTAAGAGAGCCTGTGCTGTCCAGGGCCCTTCTCGTGACTGTTCTGTGGTTCTGAACCTGCTGAGGGATGTGAAAGGGGCTTCTATGTCACAGTGTCTTTCTCCTGTCATCCCATTTGATTTTCCAGACTGTTATCCCCAAGTCCATCTGCTCAGGTTGCCTGGATAGAATTATAAACTTTCTACCACAGGGCATTTGGTGTTAATAACTGGCAGGTATTGAGGGCTGCTAGTAATTGACATTGATAAGTTGCTTTACTGTTTAAAAGTACACCAGTACAGTTATCTTAATTAATGTTCACAATGACCCTTTGAGAAGGTGATGTTGTCTTCATTTAGATGAGGGATTTTATTGCAAGAGGCGCAATGGGAGAGCCGAGTTAAATTCTTTTAATATAGGCATTAGTAATGGTATATCAGAGAATGAACCATGAAAGGAAAAGATTCCTTTGGTTATGTATAACTTTAAGCAAACCAACAAAAACAAAAGTAAAGAATAAATGACAATGTTTAACATGCCTGGCAGAGAAAGGATTAGTATCCTGAATATATTAAGAACTCTTATGTGCCATCAAAAAATGTAAGCCCTTCAGTAGAAAAATGGGCAGAGGATTAAGCAAGTAAACCACAGAGAAACTAAGTGAACATAAACAAAAATGTTCAGCGTCACTGTTGCTTAAATCAGTATCAATGAAAAATGCAGTGTACAAGTTTTCACTTATAAATCTGCCAAAGTTTATGCTTTTAACCAGTGTTGGGGAGGTTGTGGGAGGAAAAATATATTCATATGCTGCTGTATAAATTAGTAATATTTCCTGGAGGACAATTTGGCAAAAACTTACATTAAACATGCCTACCATTTATACCACTTTAAAAAATATATCTTAAATAATCAGAGATATGTATGAAGATTACAAATGTATTTATAACATTTTTATGTATACTAGCAAAAAATTGGTAACAACCTAAATGGCCAACAGTAGGGTTGGTTGTACCTTCTGCTGTCATTATTATGTGATGACTAAATATAGCTATTAAAAGTTGGGCTAAAGAATTCTTAATGAAATTATTAAATGTTCATAATTATATATGGATTTTTTTGTTTGTTTTTTTATTTATTTTTATTGTTCAAAGTATTACAAATGCCCCTCTTTTTTCCCCATTGACCCCCTCCATCCTGCCCTGCCCCCCTCACTATGTCCATGAGTTATGCACATATGCATATAAGTTCTTTGGTTAATCTAGGGGTGGCTGGTCACAGAACACTCCACCTGTGGCAAGGCCGCGTGCTTTTTCATCGCAGAGAGAGAAGAGTTCAGTCATTGCACAGCCTCCCCTTTAAGTTTTTAACTTTTGCCATAGATACCTTTCTTGTTCTTATTGAGTAAGGACAGATTCTGGATAGTAATCCTTTGTCAATTTTATGTGTTCTGGTTTGCCTTTTATTATTAATTACTCCACTATAGTTATTAATACATTGAATTCAGTTATTAATATAGTTAATATAGTTGAGTTATCAAGCTTTCCTTTATGGCTTATGTTTTTTTTCATACCCTGAAATATTAAAGATATTTTTGATCCTGCGATTTAAATGTTGCCTTTCACATATCATTTCTTAAATCATCCGAAATTTTTTTTCCTGTGTGATGAGAAACAGTGATCCATTTGTTTTCTGTATAAGTAGACAGCGTGCCATTATTGTTTATTGAAGAGCCCATCCTTTCGCCCTCTAATCTGCAGGTCATGTATCCAGTTTCTTGTATGCATGGGTGTGTTTCTGAGCGCTCTCATTTCCATCCGTCCATGTGTCCATCCCTATTCCAGTGCCATGCTGTCTTATTCACTGTAGCTCTAAAATGATCTTGATATCTGCTAGGCCATGTCTCCCTAATTGTGTTCTTTTTCTTCAGGAGTATCTTGGCTGTTCTGGGCTCTTTTTATGTCATATAAATTTCAAAGTCAGATTATTAGGTTCTAAGATAAACCTTCTGGTATTTTAATTGGAATTACATCCACTCTTTAGCTCAGTATAATAAAAACTATATCTTTATGATATTGTCTTCTTTTCTACAAACATAAAATATCTCTCTATTTATGTAGGTCTTCTTTAATTTCTTTCAATGAAATTGTATGATTATTTTACCCAGAGAGAGGTCTTATAAATCTTTTCTAGCTGTTGCTGGTATAGGCAGATACAATTGGTTTTCTATATTGTCTTATACCTAGCAACTTTACCCTTTATTTATTTACATGCTGTTTTTAACACAGGTGTACAAAGGGGCTATAAGCAGAAATCAGTTAAAATTTTAACACATTATCTAGATACCTGAATAAATGTGGTGTATAATATGGTAAATGTTGATCTTCTTATTTTTGAGATGTACTTTCCTGATAGTGAGTCAGATGGTCAAATATTATGTTTTAATCTTGTCAGATCTCAAACTATGTGACATTGTACAAATCAGTGGGGATGGTTAAATCTACCCCTTTTTTAAAAAAAACAAACTCGTAGGACTTATTATAAGGGTATAATAAGATAATGAGTGGGTATTTCTTCTCTAAATTCTTTGAATCGGTAGTGATCACTGTGAATATTACCAACACCCCCACCTTCCTTTGTGGCATTTAATAAGTTAAAATGTATTAATTAGTTATATCAGTTATTCCTTGTACCTTAATTTATTTTTGCATTGGGAGACACACACACACACACACACACACACACACAGCCTTTGAAGTTTGCCTGTCTTTGAGGTCGTCATCTCTTATAAGCAACTGGTTAAACATATTTAGGAAGTTAAAGTATAAACTCACATATAAGATGAACAAACTAGATTTGGGAAAATTCATCCATTCAAAAAATATTTGAGTATCAAAATGTGCTAGGGTAGGGCTAGGCATTGAGGATTGAAATAGTCAAACTTGTAGAAGAAACAGAGTTGAACTATTATAAATTTAACCTATTGTAACTTGAGAAACAACGTTTGAGTTGATATCTGAAGGAAGAATAGGAGTTACCTCAGTGCCTTAAGTCATTTTAGCATCTCCACCCCCTCTGGTGCAGCTTGTTCTTGAAAAATTCCCTTTGCTGGTGACAATCAAGAGGAGAGTGTGTTTGCACTCCCAGGATCACACAGAGGCAGCAGGTGGGCCAAGGCAAAGAGCAGGACCCAGACAGTATCTGAACGTCAGAAGAGAGTGAATAACTGTGTGTCTGCCCCGGCTCCCCTTGCCAGATGTAGAAAACTCTCCTCCTAATCTGACCTCTCCCTTTGGAGTAGTTCTGAGCTTTTCATCAAGCACTGCAAGGTCGGGGTGGAACAGACAGAAAGATGGGCAAAGGACAGCCTGCATGGACAGAACCTCCATGTCTGCCATCTCAGCAGGGGTTGGCCAGCTGTGAGGCGGAGAGGAGCTCAATTCAGACACCATGAAAAAGAAAACACAGACTTCAGAGCAGAACTTCACTAAACCTTTGTAACCTTTTCTTTATGTCCTCTTATGGACTACTCCATCCTGTCAGTTTGTCATAAATGCATATTTATAAGCCCTCAAATGGACACAGTGTCACTGACCTGTCCCCACTGGAATGGTGTTCAGGCAGTCCTGGTCAGGAGGAAGAAGAATGCAGGCTTGGTGGTGTGGGGTGTGTGGCCTCGAAAAGAATGGGCCCAGGAGGGGAGCTCGTGACTCACTTCAGTTGGCACCATGAGCTCTCTGAACCCAGACTTCAATGAGCCTCTGACTTCTGGAGCAATCCTTGATGTGGGGTAAAAGTGAAGATGCCTCCTTTTCATCTGGAAGCAGTCAACAGCCGAAGACGCAACCATCTACTCATCTTATTCATGTATTTGCTCGTTATACAAATATCAGTGGAGTGCCCATCAGATACCTTTTCCTGTTTTGCCATGGAGGCTTCAAATCAAACAAGGTCACACTCACAGACAGTAAATCAGTGGTAGCAGAATAGTTTCAAGTTTATATGTTCTCAACTGAGTTGAGTGGGAACAGAAAGGCAAGGTCTCTAAAATAATCATAATGGGGCCTCTCCCTTGAGCTTCCAGGTGAGTAGGAGTCAGCTCAGTGAAGAAAGGTATAGAAGGGGGCATTCCAGACGGGTTATGGTGCTGTGAACTTGACACTCTAGGAGTCTCACAAGGTCAGGTGTAGCTGGATTGCAGACCACTTGCAGGAGAGTGAAGGGAGATGACAGGAGCAGGGAGGCAGAGGCTTGATCTTACAGAGCAGCGGTTCTCAACCTGTGGGTCGAGACCATCGGAAAACACATATAGCACATCAGATATTTACATTATGTTTCATAACAGTAGCAAAATTACTACTTGAAATTACTACTTCAGTTATGAAGTAGCAACAAAAATAATTTTATGGTTGGGGGTCACCACAACATGAGGAACTGTATTAAAGGGTCTCGGCATTAGGAAGGTTGAGAACCACTGTTATAGAGCCTTACGAGCCAAGCCAAAGAGGCTAATCTTTATCCTGAAAAGCTATGGGTACTCCTCATGTATTTGAGGGATAGTAATTAGGTAGAGGTTTGTGACTGGGTGATTGCATGAAGGTATGGAAGTTAGTAAGTCGAATAGGTGGGTGAGCAGAGGAAAACTCCCAGATAATGCCCAGGTGGATAGCTTGGGCAAATGAGTTGGTGGTTCCTGTCATTGCAGTCATGGAATACGTGTTTATTTTCTCACATAGCATGTGCAGTATCGCCAGTCCTCTGCTCTATCTTAAAGCAAAAGTATATCTTTTGTTCTGTGTACTATGTAGGAGGAACCAACTGTCACAGGAATTATGGAGGAAGCTTGGAAGTGAGTCTGTAAGGCCCCATATTACACACACACACTATGGGTAAATGGAAATTTACCAGATGGTGTAGCATAAAGTGTAACATAGCAGATTTGCTGGGTTAAAATCTACTTCATTGTTGTGTGACCTGGGTAGGTTATTTCATGTCTCTACTTCAGTTCTGTCATCTGTAAAC